TGAAAGTTTGTTATCGCTATTTCTCGGGAAGTACGGGAGGGATCTTTCTCAAATTTTAAATGTAGGTTCCCCTTGATCCCTCGTTGTGTATGTTATATTTTGAGACTGATCATAAAAACAAAATGGATTAAAAGAAGAACTAAACAGATCTTTCTCATATTGCAATGATCGATTCTATTTCTTTCACATTAAGTACTGTACTAGTAAATATGTGAAATGACAAACTTACTTTGAAGGTTGGCTTTCATACACATCAGTATTAAGTTTAGATTAAAAGTTACCTCAAGGTGCATTTACTGTTAAACTGACTCGATCAAACAGATTAGAGGAAAGAAGAGAAAAAATCAAACTAACAAAGAACTAATGAAGATGGTACAAAGGTGGGCGCCAAGATCCCTCTGGGATCTCTTGTATTCAATACAAAATCTTCTGACCGAAAACACATTTTAGAACTGAAGTGATTTTCTGTCTTAGTGCTCTAGTATGCAAATTGTTAAATCTTCCCCCACTGGATGTCATTTACAGAAACTCCCTTAGACCCAGATTCATTTTAATGCCAAATTCTGTATATTTTACAATTTATTTAAATTCCGTTTCTTTAATCATTTGAATAGATGTTCTTGTTCTTCTAATATGATCTTGTCCAAGCTGTAACTTTTAAACCATTAAAGATATTGATGAAGCTTGAAGTATACCTGCATCACCTATAGACGATGTGCAGTGCACTGTCATTTGGTCATTGACCAAAGTCCAAGGTCAAATATGTGCAAATTTTTCAGGAACATCTAGTTCGGGCTGTTACTTTTAAACCATTCAAGATATCTTGATGAAACTTGCAGTATAACTGCATCGCCTACAGATGATGTGTAATGTAGTGTCATAAGGTCACTGTGGCCTTTACCTCAAGATCAAAGGTAAAAAAAGCATGATTGTTTCAAACATTTAAAGGTGTACGCCAAGGTGATGCCAACGGTTCCTCACCGTGTCGTATATTTTTGTTCACAAAAACACAACTCTAGTTACGAAAGAATTTATGTTTACAAAAATGATTTCTGTTTTTGGTATATCAATTGTTTTTTATACTGCTCAGCTCAGTGACCAAACAGCATTTTAGATATAAAATAATTGGACACCGAGTTGCGATGGACTTGTTTATTACGTAGTGTTTGACAATGAAGCTGGTGTGCTTGAGGAAGCTTTCTTTGACAAAGATTCTCTAAGCTGTTTAATCTTCATGTCTATATCCGACACACTCATACTCTGTATAACAGAAAGTAAAAAAAAATGTAACATTTCATATTTAAAGAAATCTTGCATACTGACCAAAAAACAAACCTAAAACACGTTTCTGAGGAGGTGTCTCGTTATAAAGAAATCTGACCAAACCTGCATCTTCAGCCCAATACATTGTGTTAGACAGAATCAGGACAGGATTGTACTACAGACTACATTCTCCTATTGATTACAATTAAAATGATGTTCCAATGCTTTTAATTAAATGAAGTATCATCTCTTACTTAAGAGCTATCCAACACTAGAATTGGAACAATCTTTTTACCAATGTTTATAAGATTACAAATTCTCTGGATTTGTTTACCTCATCCTCAGGTGCCCTGTAGAAGTTGTCCCGTTTCTCCTTTCTGGGTTTCTTATGGTGGGGTGGCTGTCAAATAACACTATATATTAGTCACACTGAAGAAACAGTTCAAAACTACAGATCTACTGTTAAAACTCGTATTAATCCCAATGTCAAAGTCAACTGGAAAATATTATTTACAAATAATAGATCAATTTTCAATGTAAATTTACATATATGGTAAACCTCCAGTTACGTTGAATCGGAGTGAGCTTTGAACAAAATGTTTTTTACAATGATTTTCTATGTAGTGCATGATCAAACCCTGCTTACCCAACATTTTAGATTGATGCAATACAGGATTTGAGTACCGAAACAACAGAATTATTGACTGATTTTGGTTATCAGCAATGTGATAATAGCCTCGTGAAACTCAATAAAACTGAATTATTTTCACATTGACAGCATTTAACGTTTCAGTTAGAGCTAGTATTCATCATGTGCCAGTTAGACTGTTTAAGGCCCTAACCATGCATACTACTCTATCAGTACGGAACGTTCCTGTTGCATCGCTGATAGACACATGTGTAGATATTACTGTGTTTACGATTTAGTTATATAATTGTGACCTGACTGATTACTGAATTGATATGTTACCTGTACATGTGCCATAGCAAACAGGCTTGACCAGGTGGTAGGTCGAACTAATTTTAAAATTTGTAATGCAGTAATTACCATCAAACTTTTGTCAGTTCTCTAGAAAACATGTACTACTCTGCAGCCTACCTACACTTGCATCTTCTTTGCGATTAAGTTCAAATTTAAATTGATAATTGATTATTTATATGTCAATAAATATATGAAAGACATATGTACCATTATTTATCGCATTAATTGCAAATAAATCGTAATAGGTTGTTGGTGTTCCAAATCAACGACTGGACTGTTTGTCGTAATTTTTGCCGATGTCGACTTTGATTGTTCGAACCACTTAAAATGATAGTGGCTATAATTTTGTGTTACTCAAACAGGATTGACAATATGGATTTAATTTTGTTCAATCTGACCGAAGGTTTACCATATACTACCATACAATACTGACCTGAAACGTGAAGTATTCTGGAGACAAACTTTCCAAAAATAGAATGCGTTCCTCAAGGAACTTCAGTCTGGTGTACACGTCGCTACATGACACTTTACCTGTAACAAGAGAGCAACATATGTACAAGTAGACTTAGGTCCAAAGGATGTGGAGCAATGGGGACATCATGACCAGGAAAAGGAACTAGACATCATCAGAACTCTGAACCTTTACCGAACTTTACATTGTGGTAACAGCAGTTAAAAATTGTATGCAATACACCGTCTAGTAGTGATGAAGCTTTTAGTAACTGGTATTATGTAACTGAAGATGTACCTTTGCTGACATTCAGATGCTTCTCCATGTTGGTGAGCCTCTCCTCTATCCCCAGGGGAAGATTGTTCTTCTGTACTACCTCCTTGGATTCAGAAGTGTCCACGGAGTGGGTGGGGATCTGGGTCTGAGGACCCTGTAGGTTCACAACACGACTCACTGCAACACAACAACGCATGTACAGAAACAATAATAATTGGAGGTTTTTATATACTGCTTTATCACTACCTAGTTCGTAGGTCGTCTCAAAGTGGTTCACAGATTATTACCCGTGGTTATAGGGCCTTTGCAACCAGCCAATATCTTTTTCAACTCCCTGGGGAGCATACAGCCGGTGCTGCCATTTCGGCGCTCACAGCTAGCATTCAACAGTTTTAGCACTGCCCTGCCACATACTCATTTACAGCTAAGTAGACTGGAACAAGCGGAGTAAAGTATCTTGCTCAAAGATACAACACTGTGCCATGACTCGAACTTGCAACCCTTCGGTCACGAGTCCGGTATCCTACCACTAGACTTCACATAACAATTCAAAGTTATTTGGACCATTATCACAGTAGTGTTTTAATCTCACAAAGATACAGAGAGGACATTCAATGGACTCGGGGCGTTATGGGTCATTTTCAGCCACATGAAAAGTTTCAATTTAAATTTATTTACAAATTTTGTATTTGTTTATTGGGGCTATCTTTCCTGGTGCAAATAATTTCGGCTGCCCAACCATAGCAACAAAATAGTCTTGCTATGCAGAAATAGTCAAAATATGGTGTTTTTGGACGGTTAGCATGCAGAATTGAAAGCCTCCACAAAACTTCTTATCTGTGAATGAAAAAGTGAACAGTGTTTTTGTTAATTTGCTTCGAAATGGCCTTTTATCAATGTATGCACACATACATTTTATTGTGAAAAATGCAGGTTTTAAATATACCTCTCTTTGTTGTCTATATACTTTATATACCAGTTGTCAAATGAATTCAAAATTCCATATTTGCGTCCGTCATTTATCCCTGATTACAAGTTTATATAACAACTAATACCAAAATAGGTTGGAAATGACCCTTAATGCCTCTAGTCCTTTATGGTCTTGATTTGTGACTGTATTATACTGTCGTGTTAAACACCGATACCACCAATATATATCAGAAAGTAAATATTACCTTTGATATGACTCTTTCCATCTGCTCTTGTGAAAAACAGGGAGTCAACACGGGCACAGCTATTTTCTGCCTCTGTCAACAGGACAAATTGGATTATATCTCTTGCTGCTGTTTTGAGATTTTTTTTATATGAAAACTTTCCTTTATTTCAAACACTGAATATTTTTTTCAATATTCTGTGGTTAAAAGGGATGCATATAGAGATTTGGAAATTTAAATATCACAGAAAAACTGTCACAATTTAATACACCAAATGTGGGTAGCGTCACTTTATAAATTTATGTAAATATGGCTTAAGCATGTATTTATGTAACATTGATCTGTTGGGTTTTTTTAATTTAAGGAACACAAATATATTTAAAAGAGTCCCTAATGCTTCAAGCAACAATTCATGTTCTGTGGAATGTATTTCGTTTGATACATGTACCTACTGTTTAGTATGACATGCCTCTGTACCAGTAATTCGACAAACCTTCCTCCGGGCCTTGTACACTGCAGAACTCTCGTCTGTTCAGCTCGTTTACCTCCAACTGCTTCTTCTCCACAAAGGCTGCAATTCTTCTGTCTATCTAAATGGAGATTAACATTTTCATTAGTAAGATTTACGGTTGATGCGAGATGAAAACAAATTTCTAACACACTGCTATAAGTTATTTCCATTGATGACAATATCATATTCCGTTAGATCGGGCCAACATTGTCAATTCAGTAACCTGTCTGTTTGAATGGTCAAAGAATATGACTTGTGTTTTGAAAAACAATTATTATAAGCTATCTTCAATTTGTTGGAAATACACGTATTGTTACATTCACTCAAAAAATGGAAACATTTTATATAAAGTTTCATTGCACTTACCTCAGACTTGGATGCTTGTATCTGCACCAGGTTTTTGTCGTTCGTGTGTCTGCAGTCATTCATCTTGTTCACAACATCATCGGATTCTTAACAACAAAAGTTATTTATGAACTTAATTAAGTAGTGAATCCTGTGTAAATTTTCTTTGCAGATATTACTGCATTATTAATCTGTTGAACAGCAATTGTCAGATTTCATTTGAAGCACCTTTTTATTTTCAAAATCCCAAATTTTCTGACTGCTACGGCAAGTATCATTGATGTTCTTATGACAATTTGATATGAAACGTTTCACACATTTCATCTAGTTATCATATGGAAATGTAAGCATTATTTGTTGTTTAAGGCATTCACATTGAAATGTATCGGTAAACATCAAAGCAGTGATTCAGCCACCACTAACCTGGTTGGTCTACTATCCAACCAGTCAATATACTAGAGGACAGATTCTAAATTTTCTATTCAAATGTCTCAACTGTCTAACAGTACAGCCACTTAAGCTGGTAAGGAAGCTAGCTGGATTATAGCCCGAGTTTCACCTGGCCCTGACACCAGGAATAGACATTTTGACCTGAAATCTATCTGTCAAAATGACTGGTGTCAGGGTCAGAGGAAACTCAGACTATAGCTACATTTATTTAGCTTGACTGTAAACTTAATAATTTACCATCAGATATTAGACCACAACTACTATTGGTTTCCCTGTCTTGCAAAATCCCTGTGTCTTCAGATTTTTCAGTTTGAAATGAATTTCTGGACAGGTCAGAAATCTTGACATCCTCAGTCTGTACACTGGCATCCTGAGAAGTTCTTGATGGTTCAGTCAGCATTGTATCACAAACATTTTCTTTTGTGATACTAGAATGCCTCATAGACGATGTGTCCATCCCTGTGTCAACATGTTCACCATCAATTGTTTCGACATCAACTTGACTTTCTTCCAATGATTCTTTCAAGTTGTCCTGGTAGATCTGAAATACAAATGCAATGTCTTATACAGTTTGTGGTTAAGAATATTTTTTAAAAACATCCACCACAAAAAAAAATTGCTGCTATACAGTTAATAGTGAAACCAACATTTGTTTCAGTCAGTACCTGGAGTTTGTTGATGAGAAGTGCCAGCATTTCAAGTAGTTTTGGCAAACCTACATCACTCATCTTAAGCATCTCTTCAGTCAAAAAACTGGTTTCTGTGCTTTTCATGAAAACCTGAAAGAAGAGATCATATGATCTTGTTAACAATGAAATTCCATCATACCAGATCTAGAGGGCAAAATTTATATTCTAGGATTCAGTAAACTAAATACTCCCTTTTCAAGCCTCAGGTTATTTAAACATGTTAACATTTTTGGCCATTCTTTCCTACAATGTTGATGGCTATTAAAAGAAGCATTTAGTTTGGATCACTTTACAACATCTTGTTACAATGTTCCCGACAGATGGAAGGTATAAGATATTGGGATGGCTATTATACAAATATCTTGTATCCTCCAATCGTCTGCAGCTGGATTATCAGGTACCGGAGCCCCTTGATATCTGGCGTATTTATAATATAGGCAGATTTGGCTATTAAGTCATATTCATATACTCTACTTATATTGGATAAATGTGAACAAATGTGTCAATTGTGGTTGCATATTCCTCGTTCACATTAAAAAATTAGTTGACAAACAGTTGAGTCAATGAAATGAAAGATTTTTATCTAATAACTCAATTTTCGGTGACTGTTGAATTTTGTTGTTGCATTTTTTGGTATAGCATAGCTCTCCTGCATCTGACTGTTAGACAGGAATATGAATGATTTCTGTACCAAAACACTAAATATTTCACTCGCACCTGGCAGATGAAAAACTTTCACTGCATGTTATCATTCTAATCAGAAGTATCTTCCAAAAGCACACCTGAGACCTGATTCTGTATCTTCTGAACATGATGACATATTTAATAGACACATACTATAATTGTTGAGTACTAATAAGGAACATGTTATTAGGGTAAAATGCAACAATGTTTTTTCTCCAAACCAATGAAATTGTGTAATTACTCTTAGACAATAATCTTTAATTTCACCGACTCACCTGTCAGGTCCACAATTTTATTGATTTGTACAGGATAAACATGACCAGTAAGGACTTTATTACATTATTCCTTTATACATATAGTCATATTTTACTATTCAGAGCCAATCTGCCTATATATCTAGATTTGTCAATGCTCCAGTACCTGAGTAAGTAACCTTGAAAGCATCCTTTGCCTGTTTAGTAGCCCGAGTTTCCTCTGGCCCTAACACCAGACTTTGACATTTTGACATACAGAAAGACGTCTGGTGTGGGGCCAGAACTCACTGCTGTATGAAAACATGGAATTCTCCGATACCGTTTGGTATCTGAGAGTTATGAGGTGCTGACAACAAAAATCTACCATGACACAACATATACCTCACATATATCGATAAATGGATTATTTATTGATCCAAATCAGCTCTTATTATCACCAAAACAGCTGCTAAATTGAGTCAGTAGAGTCCTCAATTTTTAATCGGTCAAAATTTCCCACCTGAGCAAACGCCAGTTTTGTAGATCATGGGGTGACTAATCAAAAAAACGTACTGATTCGGATTGAAAACGGATTATATTATTCTTTTTAAGATGTCCAAGCCGCGTCTTTTTGTTGATTAGTCACTCCCTGATACGTCCAAACGGTGTCGGAGAATTCCACGTTTTCATATAGCAGTGCCCTCTGGCCCCACATCTATATGTCAAAATGTCTAAGACTGGTGTTAGGGCCAGGGAAACTTGGGCTACCTGTTTAGGAGATACACATAATACATATTGTGTATTTACTGAAAAATGCATGCCTGTCATTAATTGAGATTCAAACGTTTGTGGTTGCAATCACGGGGCTTGTAGATCTAGTTGTAATCACAGTATACTGATATGGGTCACATCACACCTAAGTGTAGGTGTGCTTTGACCCATATCATTACAGCACATGTGTATTTTAGACATTTGCAACGAACCCCTGTGGTTGTAATCACATTTTAGATGTTGATTGGTTGATTGGTATCAACCCGCCCCTCCCCCAACCACACACACAAGTGCGCACACACACGCACTTGCGTTCAATTTTCAATCAGTATGATTAACCAAAACCATGCGTAACTACGGATGGGAAGATTTAAAAATAATGTCTTGGTCGAGTTTTACACCACTGTCACTGATAAACAAGCAATCCCTGGTGTTGAATCACAGGGTTCGTTACAAATGTCTGAAATACACATTTGCTTAGACTGATATGGGTCACAGACTCACATGCAGCACACATACACTTTCAGACATTTCGCTCAGGTGACATCGTTGTAAGCTAACTAGTAGCTTGTGGTAAATCTGTAACGAACCCCCGTGGTTGAATCGCACTTGCTACTGCAACAAAAGATATCTTACCTTTGACAATGCCCTATCAAACCACGACATGAAGGACTCCGTGTGTGTCATCCTTACGACCAGCAAGAAGTTTCTCAAAAATAAGACTTTCTCCTAAAACAAACGAGTGTTTATCCCTCTTCTACTCAACACAGCTGGCGGCAGCCATTAATAGTGTTTAATCTTTATCATCAACAAGCTTCAGTTCTGGGCGACACTCAAACGCTTGCGCGCTACAGATGCAGGTGCGTTTTGTGAAGTTGGTCAAGATCGAAATATGAATTATTTGGCCTAATAGGATGACATTTCAACACAGAAGATAATTCTCCCCAAAGTCTCCAATAACAATGCTTATAAATAAGCTAGATAGATAGACAAATATGTCTCATTTTAAAGTCGCTAATAGGCCTATGTAAAACAAGGAAAACGAAATAAGGGAAGAACTATTTTGGTACCACTTTCTATCCAGCGTTGCAAATTGCTGCAAAGATGGCGAATGTAGATCTCACAATTCATAGAGCTGTGCAAGAGGTAATAAAATGAAAACACATATAGACCTACTTGAAATAAACAAAATATACTATCAAACTCTTTAAGGCCAGTTAAACTCAATGACATACTTATTTTAAAATAATTGGAAAGATGCAAATAACTTGAAGATTTCATCAACTGGCGTCATATCAATAATGTACGCTTTACTAGTTAACATAAATTCTTTTTTGTATTTCAGATTATTGAAATGTTTCATTTTGCCCAAGATATGAGAGCAGGACTCGCCAACAAAAGTCTAAAACTGCAGATAAAAACAGCAGGAACGGAAGAGGAAAATGAAGCATGTTTATTTCATTTAAAATGTTTGTAATATTTTCAAATGTTTGCGACATAAGATCTAGCTTGTCGTGATAACCCATAATTCTCCATCTATGTTTGAAAGCATGTAAACCAAATATTGAAACACACTTAATCTAATTCCCATTTTTTCTTTTCGAAAAGAATTACGATCAGTATATTTACAGTCAATTTATTTCGACAAATTTGTGCCGCACCAGCTGACAAATTAATGTCCTGATATAAGTATCTGTATAAAAGGTATTCCCTGATAATCAAATGCAAAAATGAATATACAATGTGTAAAAACCAGAAACACTAACCATTCCACTGACAGTGTTTGTGTTTTAAGTGTCTGAACCCGTATTGTATTGTCGGGTCTTCCAATTAAATGGCAGTTCAGACTGTTAACTAAATTTCAATATAAATCGGCATCAATCTAAATGTTGTTCATAATGATATTATGATCCCTGTAGATGTACCAATAGAAATATAATCTAACAAATACTTGAGGCCAAACAACATTTCTGATAGTTTATTAATTCTATTTTGTTATTTTTTTAAATACACTGTATAAAACGTGTTTTTCATTGAGGCAGATCAGATATGAGTAAAGGAAATTTGTCTTTTCAGATCTTTTTTGTATCAAATAAATCTTTGAACAAAAAGATAGTGAGTTATGGTGAAATATAAGCTCCATATATATATTATTTCTATTTTCAGTACATTCAAGTTCATCAAATGCAGAGGAATTCATGTCCAGCTGTATGTATATAACCTTTCCTGTACTCCAAAATTCATGGTAGTATTCTATGCTTTCTGTGTAAGAGTTATTTTACCTTGCGAACAATGATAAGGAAATGAAGAACACTATTTTAAATAGTGATTTAATGTATTTGCTTTTCATTATCAGATGCAGATCAGTTTAGGCCATTTTCAGAGGCAGTACCTAGCGGATCAAAGTTTATTGTAGGCCAGTGTTTCAATAAGGGCCAAGGAACCCCCCAAAAAACATGAATTTTGACCGAGATCAAATAAAAAGTAGAGAAAGTGTGACATGATTTAAATAAGTCTCTTGCTTAATACTATGCAAAGACATTTACATGTACATGTATATATATTACCTGGCTTAGTATTACAAAATTCCCTGATTTCCTGATACAGTGACACAAACACAAGACCGTGAACTACTACCTGTCCTGAGCGCCATGCAGTTAACAGAAGATGAGAGTCACTTGTGTGTCCAGTACCTCCAGTCTCCTGGCCTTATCACCCAGAAAAGTTTCCAGGTCCGGCATGGTGAAGATCAATCTCAACTTGTCCTCCACTGCATTAGTACCTCCACAAAGTCTTCAAAGAAACCATCGGGTGTCACTATACATATCCGAGTAAGTTGTCATATAAATCGGGGTATCATCGATATTTTAGGTCATCACACGAACCTCTGGACACCACTCCACATCTTAAAGTAATGACCCTGGTCAGTCATCACATAAACTAGAGGGTGGCCTCTACATCTTAAAGTCATTAAAAAGTCATCTCACCAAGTGAAGGTCTTGGAGTAATTTCACACAAGTTGTCACACAAGTTGATAGCATAATAGCAGTGCAAAACTGTACTTGGCTAAGGATATTCTGCTATCAGAACCCTTATCTGAGGTCTAGGTTACAGGTAATTATCCTCTTGCTTGCCATAGTCATAATATCTGTAAATCATGAACTTTGTACCTGTGAACACATGAATTTATATGGAAAGTGTGTTCAGTATTGCAATGTATTATCATATTTAAGCATGTCCTCCCTTTTCTGACTTTACAATCTGGGATTACAGCAAACATTTGCAAACAAAATAATATACATAGTAATTAAATGTAAAGGGCGAATTGAATATTGGGCGAATATTGATTTTACAGGCAATTTAAGGGCGAAAAATTTGACCGTGTGGACATTTCTCTGTAAACAGTATTGATTCATTTGGTGAGGTATCATTTTGTCCCAAGTTATGTATTATTCAATGTTCATAAAATAAGCAAATGTTAAAGATTGTACACAATTAATTAATTCTTCATTTGTTTTTAAACGAATGTAAAACGATGCAGTAATCATGTTTCTGTTTGGTTGATTCCAGATCCTCCTTTCTAAACACTTAATGATGCTTGAATGCCAGAAAATGTACAAGTATCTTTGGTTATACAAGATATTCAACCCAAAGGTAAACTATTATAACAGGCCTTTTTGTACAGGAAGCGTATTTGTCACAATTGTACAAATAGTGAAAATGGGTTTTCGTCTTTCCTTTTTTTTTCTCCGTATGGATAAAAATATCCTACCAATTGGCAAAATAGTTTCAAATTAAAAAAAAAAGCATATTGTTTAAGCATTGTTTACAAACACAAAATCACAAGGTTGTTTGCTTTAACAGTTCTTTTTCTGATTTCAGATACAGTTGGAGTTCAACATGAAAATCTATGAGAATTTGTGTGAATCAGACTTTAGGTTTGTAATGACTACTTTATTTCACACTTTTTTATAATCACTTCCATGTGTTTGGAACTTAAAATTGTTTAAAGGGTAAAAGAGTGATATCGAATTATCCTCAGATTGTAAAAAATAAATTAAAAAATATATTTTCAATAACGTTTGATTGTGTTTCAAATATATATTTCCTCTTGTTTGGAAGAATTCTGAATTAGTAAACTATATTATTACATTTGTTACTATTGTGAAATATTTTTTAAGACCTTACATTGTACCTTACATGATACCATGCATTTCACAAAAATTGTAAATGCTAATAAAAAGACGAAAACTACAAGTTCAAACTTGGAACCTTTACAAAGCAAAGCATACACTTTACCAATGGCACCATACAGCAATTGTGAAAGCATGAGTGTCCAACGTATCAGCCACAAGGCTTATGAAAAATTTGACAGGGGAATTAAGTTACTCTCAGCCAGAAAAAACTTGTTTTTGCTGCTTGATCTACTGTATAGAAGAGAGAAATTCCAGGACAAAAAAAAATGTGTCGCATGTATAATTTTTCAACATTGTTATATAATCTGACTGATAGTTGATGATATGTCTATTAAAAGAAGGTTGCTGTGATTTTATAATTAATACAAAAGTAAAATTGGATTATAATCAAATTATTTCTTTTCAGTTGCACATCAATGAATTTGTCTGGAAGTCCTCTTGAAATATGTGGAGATGCTTCCTACTTTCTGAGGTAAAGTATTTTGTGAGAATCGCAAGAATGTGAGAAATACTTTAAAAATTCTGACATCAGTGTACAGAAGAATTGTCCAGTTTTGAATTTTGCCATATATAGGAAATAGAATATATATATATATATTTTTATTTTTTAATACAACATGGTATGAAACTGTGTAAGTGTAACTGTTTCTCTGTTACAACACATGTTAATGGAGTTATGTCCCTTTACTAGTTATATGTTATGCATTTCTGTATTTATGAGCTGATTTCAGTAAAAAAAAATGTATCAATACAACATGATGTAATATTATAGTAATAATAACCCCTACCACATTAACTCTCTATATATTCATAGATGTGCATGTATTGTCTGGCTAAACTGGCAATGCATTAATATGAACTGGTGTTTTTTTTAACATTTAGGTGTCAGTACATCATGGTGTAAAGCTGTGCATTTGTTTATTTGTTGAAATTTATTTTTATATTTATACTGTAGGAAAAAATCCCTGTTATCTTTTATGTATCTGGATATTGATTTCAACATTTGTCCACCAATTCTCTAAAACATTATAGGTATACTAACATGTAATACAGTGTGATGTGAAGCTGTTCATGTGCATGTTACTGCTTTCTCTGTTGCAATATTAGTTTTTTCTATTGCACAAATGTCATCCCACATAGACAGGTATAAGTAGAAGTTCCCAATGAGTGATGATTGGTGGTCATGTTTATATATCTATCTCAAGTTAATTAATTTTCAAATTGTTTAAAAGACACAAGGTATAACTGAGTGTGTTTGAAAGTTTGAAATTAACTAAAGAGAGCTAGATAAACATGGTACTCAACCATCACAAGTTTGGGGATCTTATTTTCTCTTGAAACTTTCAGATATTATATCCAGAAAATCATAATTATGTTACTTTTGGGATTGCATAATTCCTGTTTCCGATCGAGGAAACAATTGCCATGAACTGTGATGTCACAATGAAAGATGATGTCGAAATGTATTGCTACTTAATTAGAATATTGACCAATGAAAGTTGGTCCAGGGTGTAACCCTCTATTGTTACCCACTAGTGGGTAACCAAAACTGTTTACCAATTACTCCTGGCAGGTTTATCCAATGAATCGGGAGTGAGAAAATCTACAGTAGTGGTTAATGTGGGAGAAATGGTAATATCTAGCTATGTCTATTGCACTAAAAGTTTACATAAAGGAGGCATGGGTAAGTCAGTGGCTTTTCAAGATCTGCTGTGTAAATTGTGTAACCTTTCAAATTACAAAAAATATATTTGATATATATATGGGCAAGGACCAGCCTCCGACAAAACTTATTTCACTGCATATATGGAACAACCTACGTGTACCCTACTTTTGTATAATTATAAATCTGAAATTCATCAATAAAATGATGTGGCAACATATGAACATTATAACTTTGTGATTTATTATGTATATATATATGTATTATTTGGAATCCGATGTAGAGGATAAGAAATGAACTTGTACCAGAAATAAACTTATCTTATTATTTCAGAAACACATCGTATGTTTGTACCAGTCGATTTGTAGTGCCTGTCTGTAGTGAGATAACCCAGCTATCTGCGTGTGAGGGGACGGGAGATTCTTCCTATCCTAACACTGTCACTCTACAAGTAGTAGCTCATATGAACTATGTACAAGGAAGAGGAGGAGGTGGCCGACTTGGAACCTGTGCTACGGCAGGACTGATAAATGTAAGTGAATCTCATGCAAACAGATTCCTTGGGATTCAGTGAGTTCTTATATACCGGATTGATCAACTTTTAAATGTTATTAACTTAGGTCAAAGGTTACCATTTGCCATTTGTCATAGGTTACCTAGGTCAAAGTTTACACAAGGTCAAGATCAAAGGTTGCACAAGGTTATTTGGCAAGGTCAAATGTTGCAGATGTTTAAGTAACTACAGATATTGTGCCAGGCTTTCTTGGATGAAATGCCTGACTGTAAGTCTTCTGTTGTGAGTTTAAATGAATTATATGTTCTCCACAGCTGTACCTTTTTGGTCCAGAGGCTGTCCCTGTATTCCCAGTGTTGAAAGATACAAGTACCCAATATAATCCTCTGGAACAGATTCCGTGGAACATGTATGGTCTGAACATTCATGCCACTAGTGCTTCAATGGAAGGTAGGTATATGGATGTTAGGCTCATTTGATGTTTGTTGATTTTGTGCACACAATTAAACACATTATGATAAAAATTTAATGCAAATTCTGTAGATTCCAGCAAAGTGCATGTGGTAGTGTATATATGGGGGTCTTAATATGTGAGGAAAATGGAGTGCCAAAAGAGTACCGAGAGAAAAACCTACATGATCCTGTAATTGACTTTTCTGAGTTCTCTTGTAAGACAGGTGGTAATTATGGCCTGTAATTATCGCAGGTAGACTGCAGAGCCTGTATGGTCAAAAAACGTTTACCAAATTCACTTTGTTGTGGCATCACCTGTTACTCCAGAAACATCCTCCATCTCAGTTATAGCTAGGCAAGATGAAGATAATATTTGTATGGGTGATTGATTCCAGACAGGTTCTCCAGTCATTGTGCTGCTCTGCTGGAGTCTACGGTGCCACAAACACACAAGAAGGTTGACAGCAAGTTTGCTCTCTTTATCCATGTCCATTTTGGGATCGACGGTCAGCCTATACAGGCTAAGCTAGGTAGGAATTTGTCCTTCTTTCTCTCTCTGACTCACAAAGAAATAATATAATGAAAGTAAAATTGTCTTAATATTTGTTATGTATGTAACTACAACTTGAGATATACAATAAAAGACCTAATAAACACTGTTCTTCTGTAAAACTTTTAAATCTCTGCTTTTATGAAATTATGCATGTGCTTGATATTAAAACTATTTGTCAATTATTTACATCAGAAATTACTGTGGTATTTTTCTTGTTTGTGAAAAATCTAGATTTTTGTGCATGGTTCCAAAAGAATTATCCCAGTATTTTAACGGACCATCAACAGGAGATAGACAAGGTTATTTCAGGAGTAGTGGCCCGCCTACTAAAGCCAGACAGGGACACGGACAGAAAGGTACAGTTAAACCTATCAGTTACTGATATACTGTATACTTGATGCTGAGAGTTTTCGGCCTCTTTCTCTTTACAACCAGATAATACAAACTGTAATACATCATCTTTTCACAAATATTGAAATTTATATCTAAAGCTACTCTTATAGGGATTCAAAGTCATATTCTCTGAAAAAAAGAAACAAACGTTTTTGAACTTAAACAATTTTCAAATCAATTGATTTTGATACTTCATGTTTTAAATACATCTTAAAGTAGATATGCTGCATGTAATTATAAAATCAATTTTTTTCTCGACAAATGATCTGCAAAGAATGAGAAATTATCTATTCAGTAACGCATCGGAAGTTTAATTACCTTATGATCAGCAAGCTGACATGAAGGTTGAATAGTTGAAATACTTTAAGATTCAGCAAACCCCTAAAAGACGGTCCAGTCAACCAGAATTTCAACCCCTAGATAAGTCATGTTGAAAGACCCCAATCTAATATTGGAATTCAGATGTGTAATTTGGATATTTTCAACTTGTGCATTACGGTAGTTACTAAAATGGTACTAAGTGACAATATCTATGTTGACAATGAAGCATTAAGGCCGTTACAACACCAACATTATAATAACATCAATCTCTTCTGCGACTCAATTGAATGCTACGTAATGCCATATTATCTTAAATTTTGTTTATTTAATAGCAACCTGTCTAAACCAAACACTGTATAGAGCAATATTTACATTTAATTATCAGGTTTTAAGATTTCGGTTATAGTTTGACTATAGAATCAATGAACAGCGAGACAGAAGATAAAGATTCCTGACTATACAGGATTTGGTATAGACACTAGCTGGGTTACAGTGTAAAGATTCCTGACTATACAGGATTTGGTATAGACACTAGCTAGGTTACAGTGTAAAGATTCCTGACTATACAGGATTTGGTATAGACACTAGCTAGGTTACAGTGTAAAGATTCCTGACTATACCGGATTTGGTATAGACACTAGCTAGGTTACAGTGTAAAGATTACTGACTATACAGGATTTGGTATAGACATTAACTAGGTTACAGTGTAAAGATTCCTGACTATACAGGATTTGGTATAGACACTAGCTAGGTTACAGTGTAAATGGTATAGACACTAGCTGGGTTTCAGTGTAAAGATTCCGGACTATACAGGATTTGGTATAGACACTAGCTAGGTTACAGTGTAAAGATTCTTTACTATACAGGATTTAGTATAGTCACTACCTTGGTTACAGTGTAAAGATTCCTGACTATACAGGATTTAGTATAGTCACTATCTTGGTTACAGTGTAAAGATTCCTGACTATACAGGATTTGGTATAGTCACTACCTTGCTTACAGTGTAAAGATTCCTGACTATACAGGATTTAGTATAGTAACTACCTTGGTTACGGTGTAAAGATTCCTGACTATACAGGATTTGTTATAGACACTAGCTGGGTTACAGTGTAAAGATTCCTGAGTATACAGGATTTGGTATAGTCACTACCTTGGTTACAGTTTAAAGATTCCTGACTATACAGGATTTGTTATAGTCATTAGCTAGGTTACAGTGTAAAGATTCCTGTCTATACAGGATTTGTTATAGACACTAGCTAGGTTGCAGTGTAAAGATTCCTGACTATACAGGCTTTGGTATAGTCACTACCTTGGTTACAGTTTAAAGATTCCTGACTATACAGGATTTGTTATAGACACTAGCTGGGTTACAATGTAAAGATTCCTGACTATACAGGATTTGGTAAAGACAGTAGCTGGGTTACAGTGTAAAGATTCCTGAGTATACAGGATTTGGTATAGTCACTACCTTGGTTACAGTGTGAAGATTCCTGACTATACAGGATTTGGTAAAGACGCTAGCTGGGTTACAGTGTAAAGATTCCTGACAATACAGGATTTGGTATAGTCACTAGCTGGGTTACAGTGTAAAAATTCCTGACTATACAGGATTTGGTATAGACACTAGCTAGGTTACAGTGTAAAGATTCCTGTCTATACAGGATTTGTTATAGACACTAGCTAGGTTGCAGTGTAAAGATTCCTGACTATACAGGCTTTGGTATAGTCACTACCTTGGTTACAGTGTGAAGATTCCTGACTATACAGGATTTGGTAAAGACGCTAGCTGGGTTACAGTGTAAAGATTCCTGAGTATACAGGATTTGGTATAGTCACTACCTTGCTTACAGTGTAAAGATTCCTGACTATACAGGCTTTGGTATAGTCACTACCTTGGTTACAGTTTAAAGATTCCTGACTATACAGGATTTGGTAAAGACAGTAGCTGGGTTACAGTGTAAAGATTCCTGACAATACAGGATTTGGTATAGTCACTAGCTGGGTTACAGTGTAAAAATTCCTGACTATACAGGATTTGGTATAGGCACTAGCTAGGTTACAGTATCAAGATTCCTGACTATACAGGATTTGTTATAGACACTAGCTAGGTTACAGGGTAAAGATTCCTGACTATACAGGATTTGTTATAGTCATTAGCTAGGTTACAGTGTAAAGATTCCTGTCTATACAGGATTTGTTATAGACACTAGCTAGGTTGCAGTGTAAAGATTCCTGACTATACAGGCTTTGGTATAGTCACTACCTTGGTTACAGTTTAAAGATTCCTGACTATACAGGATTTGTTATAGACACTAGCTGGGTTACAGTGTAACGATTCCTGACTATACATGATTTGGTATAGACACTAGCTGGGTTACAGTGTAAAGATTCCTGACTATACAGGATTTGTTATAGACAATAGCTAGGTTACAGTGTAAAGATTCCTGTCTATACAGGATTTGTTATAGACACTAGCTGGGTTACAGTGTAAGGATTCCTGACTATACAGGATTTGTTATAGACACTAGCTAGGTTACAGAGTAAAGATTCCTGACTGTACAGGATTTGGTATAGACACTAGCTAGGTAACAGTGTAAAGATTCCTGACTATACAGGATTTGGTATAGTCACTAGCTGTGTTACAGTGTAAAGATTCCTGACTATACAGGATTTGGTATAGGCACTAGCTGGGTTACAGTATAAAGATTCCTGACTATACAGGATTTGTTATAGACACTAGCTAGGTTACAGTGTAAAGATTCCTGACTATACGGGATTTGGTATAGGCACTAGCTGGGTTACAGTATAAAGATTCCTGACTATTCAGGATTTGTTATAGACACTAGCTAGGTTACAGTGTACAGATTCCTGACTATACAGGATTTGGTATAGTCACTACCTTGGATACAGTGTAAAGATTCATGACTATACAGGATTTGGTATAGTCACTACCTTGGATACAGTGTAAAGATTCATGACTATACAGGATTTGGTATAGTCACTACCTTTGTTACATTGTAAAGATTCCTGACTATACAGGATGCCGTATAGTCACTAGCTGGGTTACAGTGTAAGGATTCCTGACTATACAGGATTTGGTATAGTCACTACCTTGGTTACAGTGTACAGATTCCTGACTATACAGGATTTGGTATAGGCACTAGCTAGGTTACAGTATAAAAATTCCTGACTATACAGGATTTGTTATAGACAATAGCTAGGTTACAGTGTAAAGATTACTGACTGTACAGGATTTGGTATAGACACTAGCTAGGTAACAGTGTATACAGGATTTGGTATAGACACTAGCTAGGTAACAGTGTAAAGATTCCTGACTATACAGGATGCCGTATAGTCACTAGCTGGGTTACAGTGTAAGGATTCCTGACTATACAGGATTTGGTATAGTCACTACCTTGGTTACGGTGTAAAGATTCCTGCCTATACAGGATTTGTTATAGACACTAGCTAGGTTACAGAGTAAAGATTCCTGACTGTACAGGATTTGGTATAGACACTAGCTAGGTTACAGTGTACAGATTCCTGACTATACAGGATTTGGTATAGTCACTAGCTGGGTTACAGTGTAAGGATTCCTGACTATACAGGATTTGGTAAAGACACTACCTTGGTTACAGTGTAAAGATTCATGACTATACAGGATTTGGTATAGTCACTACCTTTGTTACATTGTAAAGATTCCTGACTATACAGGATTTGGTATAGTCACTACCTTTGTTACATTGTAAAGATTCCTGACTATACAGGATGCCGTATAGTCACTAGCTGGGTTACAGTGTAAGGATTCCTGACTATACAGGATTTGGTATAGTCACTACCTTGGATACAGTGTAAAGATTCATGACTATACAGGATTTGGTATAGACACTAGCTAGGTTAGTGTACTAAAGATTATTTTTTGTGACCTCAGACAGAATGTTACACCAAGGCGATACCCAACATGGTCAAGTCTATTTCCTATATCCTGTCCCACAGCAACAACGAGGAGTTTCGCCAACAGTGCTTCAGTCTTCTTTCGGTAATCTGACAGCCATGTGTGTCTAGTTCTGGGCCATTTATAAGAATAAGATACAATGTTTAAAGACATCTTTTTATTGGGGTTTTTAACTAGATCCCTGAAAAAATAAATCATGTGTCAAGTTGTATTTGGAATATGACTAACCTTTTGAAACATGAAAGAGAATTTTAAGTCCTAATACTTTTGTGTATTGTGACAAGTTCCAATATCATCCAATTATCACCGAAGCAATATTTCAGACGCCTGATCACATCATGAAATCTTAAAAGTGAATATCTTGTAGCATTTATCAATTTTTCTGTGAGGGTTTGAGATGAATGCTGATATTTCCCCAGGTTAACAATAGTCGAGTTGTGGAGTCTGAGGTCACGAACAGATTATGGAACATCGCCAGTGAAAGGTGTGGAGTCAGAGGTCAGACAAAGGCAAACAATCATTCCCCAATCAAGACCAACTCATCAAAGTCAGATTCTGTAGGTTGTGCTCTTACCAATCCAAACCATGATGAAGCCTCCGCAGGGACGAGTTTCACAGACCCAGAACAAAAATCAGCCGAGGGTGGATTCTCGAACCTAGGGCAAGAGACTTCAGGAGAAAGGAGTTTCACAGATGGAGCTAAAGAAACCTCCATTGGGAGTAGTTACACGGACCTAGAGCATGAAATATTTACCAGTTATTGTACGGGCCAAGGACAACAAACCTTTAATGAAAGTAGTTTCACAGATCTAAGAAATGAAATCTCTGCAGAGGATGGTTTCACAGAGGGAATAAGGCAAGAAACCATTACTGGCAGAGCGCAAGAAACTTACGCAGAAAATTTTACTAACAGTGGATTCACAGAAATAAGTCAAGAATATTCTACAGAGGGTGAATCTGTAAAGATTGAACATGAAAATTTTACTGGAAGTGGTTTCCCTTTTGCAGTACCATATACCCATACAAAAGCCAGTTTCAACACCCCAGAACGAGAAAGTTCCAAAGGGAGTGATTTCACAGATCAAGGACAAGAAACCCTTACAAGAAGTGCTTACTTGGGCCTTGGACATGATATTTCTGTGGGGAGTGGTTTTTTTGGCCTTAGACATGAAACTTCTGCAGGGAGTGGGGTTTTTGGCCTTGGACATGAAACTTCTGCAGGGAGTGGTTTCTCAGGCCTTGGACATGAAACTTCTGCAGGGAGTGGTTTCTCAGGCCTTGGACATGAAACTTCTGCAGGGAGTGGTTTCTCAGGCATTGGACATGAATCTTCGACACCGAGTGGTTTCTTTGGCCTTGAGCAAGGAACTTCTGCAGGGAGTAGTTACTCGGGCCTTGGACATGAACCTTCTGCAGGGAGTAGTTACTCGGGCCTTGGATATGAACCTTCTGCAGGGAGTGGTTTCTCAGGCCTTGGACATGAAACTTCTGCAGGGAGTGGTTTCTCAGGCATTGGACATAAAACTTCGACACCGAGTGGTTTCTTTGGCCTTGAGCAAGGACCTTCTGCAGGGAGTGGTCTAATGGTACACACAACACCTCTGGTATGTATTCCTAGTGAAAGCATTGCTATGAAAAGAATTAATTTCAAGAAGTAGTACAATATGTAGCGGTTTGTATTGTATTATATAAATCTAGGAATCTTAATATGCTTTAATGCATTTTTTTTTTTTACATAATCTAAATTTTCACAAAGATCTGCAGTTATTACAGCAAAGATACAAATCTGGTCACAGAAACACAGCAGATGTATCATCAAAGAATCATCCTAGTTTCAGGATCTTGTTTCGGGTCAAATCAATCATGTAACACCGGTCACATGGAGATGTTGGTTGTGGCATTGTGTTCAGGAAGAGTTCACTACACATTATGGAATTGTATGGTAGACATCTAGACTACCCTAAGGTACTGATGGATCCTACAAATAAATATAAGTTTCTCTGTTATTGTATCGATAAATATTTCAAAAGTTCTTTTATTTTATTAATAGATAAGGACAGACAAGAATTTTACACAGGATGATAGGTGTGGTTTTGGCTTATCAAACCTGGCAGAGTCTTCAAGGACAGAGTGTTGTGGAGAATTCATCAGGCGTAGACATATTGGTGATCACTGCAGTCAACCTCGTCATTTCTCCAGTCAAATCCATGCTCCTAGTGTAGGTACACAAGGAAGGCTATGTGGAGACAGTATGAGCAGCATACATCATGGTAATGATGATAACGAAAGCCAAGAAGCTGGGATGTTCCATCCTGCTGATACATGTACGGGTATTGGGCCCTCTGGAGATTCACTTAACCAGGATGGATATCCTCTGTATAACAGTTGTAATACTGGAGTGTCCTCTCAACAGGACCAGCATGTGGCAAACACAGACTGCTTCAATGACCTTGGACAACATCGAATGACAATAGATAATTTGAATTTCAGTACAGGCCAAGCCAGAGATAATTATTCAATCCAGGTAAAGTATGTCTTTGTTCATGTATTGGAACGACTTGATACGCAAGTCATGTTTGACAGTAAAATTAAGTCAAGCTATATATAGAAGTTAACATGAATTGCACCTTTATTTTAACTGCAATATATATCCATAATCAAATATCATTCAGTCAAGGGTACCTGCACATTGTTTCCTATCAGATCTGTTTTTTTCGATTTGAGAGCAATATCTCTTAATATGTATCGAAAGGTTAACAAACATGTCTTTTTGCTTAGAGTTACTTCCCTTGGCAGGATATTTATCTTTCATTTTGATACTAAGCATTTCCAATTCCTGGTTAGCAATATCTGTAATGTGACGGATAGGCCCTCAAGTTTGACCCCTAACTCTCGTTTTTATTTTAATACTGAAAGTTGAACAAGTGCAAGTCTGTAGAAAGTTGCAAAATGTGTTTTAAATAAATCTAAAAGTCAATGAAAAAGATGTACCAGTATTTCTTACCAGCAATAATGCTATCAATGTATGTTTATTTATTATTTTACCATAGGGGAATGACCTCGATGGGCAGGATCACAATACTGGTGCTGGTGATTCATTTGATGATGTGCTGGAGAACGTACAACAATGGCTGGACGAATTTCAGTGCAAGAACATTCCAAAATAGTTTAAACTACATCCTCAAATAAAATGTGATTGAAGTTAAAACATCTGTGATAGAAGCTGGTATTTTCTGAAATTGTTAATTTATTAATACAATTTTTGAAAAAAAACCATATCTGTTTTATTGCATCTTGTTTATACAAGTTTACCCTGGGGTAAGAAATTATTTAGCACTTATTTGATCTCTGACCTCAGAATGAAGGTCACAGTGACCTTTTTACAGTACAGCACACACATTCAGTGATTAATGAAGTATTCACATACTTAAAAAAACAAATCTTCATTTTCATTAGGCCCACTCATCCAAGATTAGTTTGTCTAATGTTTGTTTGTGATTTTCATTACCGTATTTAGTGCCCGGGCACTTCAAAATTAACATTGAAAGGGGCACTTATTAGGATAATAAAATGTGAGTGATGATAGAACTTGTATAGCTTCAACCATGGTTTCAGTATAAAAGGACATTATGAATATTCAGTTGACTGGAGGTTTCAATAACAAATGTTTCATCTGCTACAAGGAGAGATTAGCCATAAATCTCCACTTGAATGTGCAAGTACCGTAAGTTATTGACCAAGTCAGGTCAGGTCTGGGATGGTGAAGAAGTTTATATAATTTCCAACTCCTCTCAAAAGCGGGAGGGTGCTAATTATGGCGAGAACAGTAAGTCCAGAAAGCATGCATTGTAAAGGTAATGCTGTAGGAAAGGGCCCGCAGTTAAGTGTGGAAATCATCTGTGGCAGGAAAAAGACAAAGCAAGTTCTTCATTCTCACAAGTTACTACTTGTTTTATTGTACAGACAAGTGTTTTGTTTCTGTAGAATGACAACAGTTCATTACATTACAGCCACCATTATCAAGTTTCTGCGATGACAGTAATACCATTGCTGATTCATTAAATCTGGGGTAGACAGGCATTCGTTTCCTTACACCACCCATAAAATAAGTTTTGTTCCTGATAAAAAAAATGATGATACTACAAATAATCACAGTTAATACATATCCATGAATCCATTCATACATTATCTTGCGTCGTCATACAGGTAACCGCACGACACATCAATATAGTATATATCACTGATCAGTACTAAAATGCTCATTGCATTTAAAAGAAACAAGCTTAAAATGAGATACATGGATCATAATAATATATTCGTGCGCCACAAACAGATGAGGACTTGAAATACACAAGGAAAACTATATAAACACCGGCCAAATCAAATAGGATCATTATATCGAAAGTTGTGGTATTTTTTTTATTTTTTCAGTTGTTTTCATAAACATTCACGATGTGCATTTTTTTTTATCATTTAGAGACAAAAAGTTCACGAGATCAACACAACCAAAATACATGTAGCAATCGATACTGCCAGCACTCTTTATAGCTTTGCATATCAGATATATTTCTCTGCATGTTTTGTTTAAATACTATGATCTATTTCTATAATGATTATCAATTGGACATGGGGTATTGAAATGAGAAAAATATATATTACATACAGTATAAAAGATTGCATTTTTTTCTACTTATGACTGTAGTAAGGTACAAATTGCATTGAAATAAAATATGTACATCATTCATGTACACTAAATACACCACTTCAGAAAAACACAGGAAAATCTTGTGTGTACATATCTGATAGTCACAGTACACTATCACAGGGATGGGCTGTTGACATCACTTTAATGAAATATTCTGATCAAACGAAATCCAAAATTGCCTTTTGATTATGTGGTCCCTACTGGTAAATAAGTCTTAACCTCTAATTGTCATCAATAATAAATAAATACAAAAAGCAGAGTGAGAGAGAGAGAGAGCAACTAAACTATTTAGTAAACAAATACAATTTGCTCGAGTGAATGATAATGTACCATAAACCTATTATGTAAAGTTAAATTAAATACTTCACAGTGATATGCATTCAGTTTATAATATGAAAAGCCTTTTTAAGAAAATCATTTATAAAATATTGTAGAGGAGTTAATGAAAATGTTTATAAACTCCTTCAGATTGTAGTGTTAATTAAATTCCTGTATATACCTCATCATTACTAACTAGACAAACTGGCCATGGAATACACATCCTAACTGGGCCATGGTTTGTATTCATTACCACTAGTATAAATGTTGGGTTATATATAACTGTTTCTGAGCATCGAGTATTTCATTAAATGCGTCCTATATATCACAAGGGGAACTTCAGCACAAAGGTCATACAAAATCACATAATTTAACTTTTTCAATAACAGGATTCATTAAAATCCATTGCCTTACACTTACGATAGTCCATTCTTAAGTCTGATGATCACAAAAAATGCCCTGATTAATTATAGTTTATATTGTACTTTTGAACATTCTATAATCACTGATATAGAATAGAATGAGTCCGAGTCAAACAGGACGCTTGAAAAGTGTTCAGATAATACAATTCCAGAATGTTGAACTCCAGATGATTCTTGACAACATTTGAACTGTCGTAATGAACATTTCTAGGATTAGAAATGAGAAAAATAATCTCTTGAAAACATGCATCTTTGCACAGTGTATGTCTGATACATTACCACTCAACTTCCACAAATACCATACAAAATCGAACATAATAATACAGGCTGATTTGTTCATTTTCACAAAGTACATCACATCAACCTACTGATGAAGAACTGATCTGATAAACAGCATAATGTTCCTTGAGCCTGGTAGCACATGTCAGTTAAAACTTGTATTCATAATCAGCAACACAATGTAAACTGGATGATGTTACACTATCTAAATATTTGGGACCACAAATTTTATCTTAACATCTCTTGTTGTAGACATGTTTTTCAATTACATGTATATCTAAAGCACTTTAATTATGATTCTGCTAATAGGTGAAATTTACCCAAGATTTGACCGAGACGAACACCAATACAGTACCAGGTGAAAAGCTCCTACAAAAATTGTCTAAAAGAGAAATGATGTAAGTGAATCATGACAGTCGCACCGCTCCAACTCACAAACACAGCTAACCCTGGGTGGAATACAGTGATGACAGCTTCCTGTACACAGCTTACCCTGGGTGGAATACAGTGATGACAGCTTCCTGTACTCTAAGCCTAAACCTCCTTAGATTTGCATAGTGGACAACAGATAGGGGGAGGAAAATTGTAGAGAAGTCTGCCACTCCTTACAATCTAAACCTATCCCTGGGAGCTAACGGGAGCCGGAAAGGGGATCATTCACAAACATCTAGATCTACAAATTCAGGACCGGCCATCCATTGCAAGGTCAAAACTGTGAAGGGAATGTTGGACATTGTCAAGACACTTCTCTGTGATTTCGCATATTCAAACAAATGTGATATATTTGGACCATCACCAAACACCGACGAGGTTCAATCATTCTGTCTCACTGATCACTGCAGTTTAAACCCTTGTAAGATGATCAACGTAACACCAGGAAATAATTTAAAATCACCATTTATAATAACAAGGTCGATGTAGGCAAAGTAACCTAATCATATGAAGACCACGATAAAGAAAATGTTCTGGATGTCCACAAGAAAGGTATCGTGTAATTCTCACATAACGTAGTATGACCACAGAGATATCCCAAAAATTGTTCCCATAAAGAATCACAGATGCTAACATATTACATTCCCCAGAAACACTTGGCACATGGCTGAGTTGTCTAGATACTACAGAACCAGGGGTCATTCAGGTCAGTCAAGAAACCTTCGGTGGACAGTGCCTGGATACGTTATGCACGTCATTGGACACACCGTTGATAGAAGGTGCTTGGATACCAACAGAACCCGAAGTTTTGCCGATGTTGAGGCACCATCAACAGATACTGCCTGGATACCACAGAACCTGAAAATTTGCCAAAGTTGAGGCACCATCCACAGATACTGCCTGGATACCACAGAACCTGAGGCTGTGCAAGACAATATCAATGACTTGTGCTTGGACACGACCGACCAGCTACCCTGAATAGCCCTTCAGAACAGCTACATACTATTCAGCTACAAAAACCAAATAATTTATTCCTTCGAACAAAAATCCTGCAAACACATCTATAACAACTCCACTCCAGCTTTAAACCTCCAGCTTTTCTTGCCTTATTCAATACAAAATGTAGGCCTCTTTATCTAGACTAAAAAGCAGATAAAGCTTCACCAACACGCATTACTCCAATCAACTATTTCATGTGCAAGGAGTGAACATGTTTGACTATAAAACGTCTATTTCACACGTGTTAATGAACATAACTTACACAAATTTTGTGTGTTACCTTGGTCAAAAAGCTGGCCAATGGTTCACCTCGCCTCCATACTCACTCTCGTACAACCAATACGACATATTTCTTACACACTAGTTCCAGGTAGATTTCTTCATTAAAAGAAAATAATCTTACTCATTACTGATGCATTTATATCATTATTTATCTTTTTTAACCCATGTTGTTATTCTTTGTGACAATTTGACCTATAACCTCTTTATTTAGAGTTGGCTCTCTCCTATAAAAAAAAAATTGGTCCATATCATTATAAAAACACACTATCAGACACATTTACACACAACGTATAAAATCCTGATTGATTTAGTAGTGAAGAGGGAACAACTCCGTCTGATATGGAACTGAAACCTGTCAGTTGATCACATCAACATGTATTTTACATTATAAAGTATATTTAAATACATATATTTCCCCTTCACCATTTCCACAGCCAGGTTTTTATACCAGTTCTGTACATGCAACCAAACAAAAAATTAAAATTATAAATCTTACACTATGTACAATAATAAAATGAATAGATTAAAGATTTGTTTATATAATATTCATATCTATGTATAATGATTATCTACACACTACCAGACGCGGCACACAGCCTCACTGTGCTGAGTACCGACTCGCATCACATGGTCACCTTCCTGGTCATCAGTGTCCCAGTGGTCAGCCTGATCAGGGCCCTGCATCCCTTATTGGTCAGGCTAGGGCCCCACGTCCCCATGTTTGTTAGCATGATTGTCCAGTGAAAGCAAGTAAAAACGTCGCCCTCTTCTACGGTGTCCATTCGGCTAGGTTTGTGTCCGACGTATCAGTTGTTTCCCTCAGACGAGGTAGAAAGGAAATCATCTGATCGCTTATGAGAATCCAGAGCTTTTATCATAGTCATGTCATGTGGTAATTCGGACTTTCGGCGCAACAGTGGTTTTTCTTTCGCTTTTTTCTTCTGTAGCTGTAACGATGAAAAGGGGAAAAAAAAAACATAAATATTCAAGCTTTTATATTTAAACAGTAATATCGAATTTCATAAGTGTAAAAGCAATAGATATTAAAATCTGTTACCACAGTATATACTTTTTTTCTTTTTTCTTTTTTTGTTTTTATATCGTTGCCTTTATAATACGTACAATACAGTATGATATTAAAGTTCCGAAACCCAAAATGTAGTATGGTAAACAATCTGGTTAGTTCTGTTCAAGTTGATACACAAAGTCAGTACAGAATTAATTTAGTACACCATAAGAACATGAAAGTATTGAAATAACAGTGAGACAGGTCTAGGACAATTGTTCAAGTTTGATAGCTGTGTCTGTCAACTTTTTCGAAAGAAAACCAATTAGGATAACTGAGTCCAAACCAAAATATCTGTTGAAGTGAACAGGGGTATTAAATTATCTGGACCTAATTAACTGGTCAAGCTAGAAGGGATACTGACTTGTTAATCTGGTCAAGCTAGAGGGGATACTGAACTTGTTGATCTGGTCAAGCTAGAGGGGATACTAAACTTGTTGATCTGGTCAAGCTAGAGGGGATACTAAACTTGTTGATCTGGTCAAGCTAGAGGGGATACCGAACTTGTTAATCTGGTCAAGCTAGAGGGGATACTGACTTGTTAATCTGGTCAAGCTAGAGGGGAACCGAACTTGTTGATCAGGTCAAGCTAGAGGGGATACTGAACGTGTTGATCTGGTTAAGCTAGAGGGGATACTGAACTTGTTGATCTGGGCAAGCTAGAGGGGATACTGAACTTGTTAATCTGGTCAAGCTAGAGGGGATACTGACTTGTTAATCCGGTCAAGCTAGAAGGGATACTGACTTGTTAATCTGGTCAAGCTAGAGGGGATACTGACTTGTTAATCTGGTCAAGCTAGAAGGGATACTGACTTGTTAATCTGGTCAAGCTAGAGGGGATACTGAACATATTAATCTGGTCAAGCTAGAGGGATACTGAACCTATTAATCTGGTCAAGCTAGAGGGGATACTGAACTTGTTGATCTGGTCAAGCTAGAGGGGATACTGAACTTGTTGATCTGGTCAAGCTAGAGGGGATACTGAACATATTAATCTGGTCAAGCTAGAGGGGATACTGAACTTGTTAATCTGGTCAAGCTAGAGGGGAACTGAACTTGTTGATCTGGTCAAGCTAGAGGGGATACTGAACATATTAATCTGGTCAAGCTAGAGGGGATACTGAACTTGTTGATCTGGTCAAGCTAGAGGGGATACTGAACTTGTTGAGACCAAATTGTTCATTAAATTAGAAGCGGTACTGGAGTAGTATCAGCTTAAGTTTGAAGTTATCGGTTTCTAAAAGTCAGTCCTTTTTCTCTCTCTCAGAATAAAGTTTTGGTGATTCATGGCCAAATTTCAACTACGATAACCCTAACTAGATTTAAAGTACAAAAAGGTATGCACAACTCTAACTGAAAACAATCTACTTCCGAATTTAAAGTTTTTAAAACAAAGTATCAACATTCTGCATAAACATGCCAAGCCTATAATGTAAGCATGCAAAATGTTATGTGCATGAAGTTCAACATCACAATAATCAAAATGACATAATACATTATTTACTTTCATAATTCATCACACTGTATTTAGTTTTTTGACAAATCTTTACACATGACTTTTAAAATTTATACATTTGGGTTAGTAAACAAGAATTCCACAGGAGTGGATGTGTCTCCTGCTCAGCGCTTTTAGCAAAAGTGTTTTGGCTTTAGGTATCGTGGAAACAAGAAAAATTTAACGGCAAAAAAGATGAACAACGATGCTATGTCAAGTGCAATATGCCATAACGTGGAAAGTTGAAACTTGACAGAAAAACCTGTAATATATGTTGAACATTATTGCGTCTAGCATTACAGTACAAAATTTGAAAGGAATTGATTAAAAAATGAAAAATATCTAGCATTTACGATACAATGCCCTTATTTGGCAATAAAAGGGGCATAACTCCACCAGCAAGAGTACCGCGGAGCAGAACAATATATGCCCGTCGAATGCCATATAGTGTTATTGTTTCTGAAATGAACAAAGGGCAATAACTTTTGCAAATATCGTTGAATCAAAATTCTTTTTAGGGGGACACAACTTCATATTGTGATTATAATGTATGCTAAGTTTCAAAGAGATCCGTTGAAAAATGTAGGAGGAGATTGCCGGACAAAAATCAAATACTGAATAAACAAAGGGCAATTACTTTTGCAAAAATTGTCGAATCAAAATTTCTTTCAAGGAAACACAATTTCATATCATGATTATTTAGCCTACTAAGTTTCAAAGAAATCTGTCAAAAAATGTAGGAGTTCTCCGGACAAAAAATCAAATACTGAAATGAACAAAGGGCAATTCCTTTTTGAAAAATTGTCGAATCAAAATTCTTTTAAGGGAGACACAACTTCATATCATGATTATAATGTATACCAAGTTTCAAAGAGATCGATCGAAAAATGTAGGAGGAGATTGCCGGACAAACAAAAGTTTAGCCGGACGGACAACCCAATACCATAATACTCCCATCAAAATTTGATGCCCAATGCATATAAACTTCTGAAATGCGAACTCGTTCGAGTTATATTGGTACGCAATATGTGTACCAGGTTTGAGTTCAATCAACCCCAGGTAACTCGAATCATGCATAGAAACTTGTTTCGAACGATGCAACATAAGACGACGACAAAGTTATACCTCTATGTCGCCTTGCATTGCAGGCGACACAAAAACCAAAATGTAAACTTGGTCAAGCAAAAGCACTTAAGAGTTGAAAGTATCCAGATAATGAATAAAGGTATATTTTTTCTGATATATTCTGATCACCCTTCTGACTGTAAAACTTGGGAGACAAAAGCTGTAATGTTATATTCTTTCAGGCATTACTAGACAAGATTAATGGTAATGGGTCTTATTGACTTATACTCTGAAAAGTAATACAAAGTCTCCAGTTTGCACTCTGGATTATATTATGATTTTATGTATATACAGCTCAACATGATTTCCAACCCATTTCGCCCTTAGGGTGTTATTTCATCACTAAAAAACAACACTGCTTTTGTTCATTAAAAGCCACTATCATGCACAAGTTCTAGAACAAAATACTCGTCAACATTCTGTTGATATATACAGGTACAGGTGTACTGCAAAGGGTTAGCAACAATGTGACACAAAACCAAACTGGGGGGTGGTGAGAGGGAGGGACCCAGTGTGACTACAAACTTTTCCGAAGTCAGAGGTGAGCAAGTCCAATCCTTTAGCATCAGCGTGGAACTAAATGGAGATAAGCCAACATACAATCCACTACACGTCGTCAACATTTACCGATCTTTTATTTGATTTTTTTTGTCATAATTTGGCATAAGAAGCTTGAATAGCATTAGCCATATTCCGTCTTTGCATATTGCAGAGTTATCTTCTCTTGGGAGCAGGTATTGATTGTTACGTCACTTGTTTGTGAGAGTAACGTCATCAATTTTTGAGAAAACGACGTAATTTTCTCACACAAATCAATGACGTAACAATCAATACCTGTTCCCAAGAGAAGATAACTCTGCAATACGCAAAGACGGAATAAAACGTTGGGTAAACAAAAATACTAGACATTTAACAAGCTGGCTGATCAACAAATTTACAGCTTTGTGTATGGTCACAAAAATACAGTTTTCTATGAAATAATGCGCAAACAGAAGTATAAATTTTAAAGTAATCTTGTCGACACTGAAAAAACACACAAGAGGTCAACATTTACACTCAGTTAGCTCCACACACAAGCAATTCAGCAAAGTAGCAGTGCCTTGTAAGCTAAAAAGGTTAAAATAAAATGTCCACACCAATACAATCGTTAGTCCCTAGTCCCTTATAATGGGTAGTAAGTACCTGGTAATACATAGGTATGAAGGAAAAAGAATTGTTAGTCCCTGACAATGGGTAGTTAGTACCTGGTAATACATAGGTATGAAGGAAAAAGAATTGTCAGGACAGAATACTGCTTTGTGTTAATCAGTGTGTGAGGATATTATTATGAAGTAGGAAAGCTGAACAAAGCATTGAGTGACTGTTCTGTATTTAAGTAAATCTGCAAAACCATCTACACTGGCTTTGTACTTTAGCTTTATGAGCCTAGTCACGGGCCGCCAGTAACGGTTAATGTTCGTCTGACCGTGTATACTTACATACACTGCCTACATTACTCTAAAGTCAAATGGGAATACACACCATTATAATACGAAGCAAGACTTGTGTAAGAATTAAAATTGATATATAACCAGTTATTGTGTAGTGCACTGTTATGCTGCAGAGTTGCTCTCCTGACTTGTAGTGACAAACAAGCTTTATAGGAGAAGATTGCAATCATGCAAAATCCATCCCATAGTACTATCCTAGTGATGAAATACATACAAACAAGAATTAACTTCAAGTTCATATCTATGCATTGAAACTTTTTTTGAGGTTTACAGAAATGGAAATCATTTACCTACGAAAAGTGGGAAAAGTTACCAACAAATCCAATGTATACCTTCATGTAGGTCTTCACATGTGAAAACATTGCTTAAGTATGATTAGCAAGACACATGATCACCAGGTGACCAATGGCTGAATAATCAGTCTTGCTATATTGTTACCAGATATATGTTGAAGGGATAAGGGGACACCCAGATGATCCTCCTTATAAAAGTAGCCTGATGAAATAGGTTTGCTCTGCAGTCATCATAGGTCTGACCATCTCCCAGTAACCAACAAAAGTTGTATGCCAAGCAAAGTTTATCCAAGTCTCATACTCGACTTACAGTTACCAACAAAAAGGTCATTGTGTAATAAATTTTGTGTTAGTGAATAAAAGTGGTGGTTTTTTTTACTGCATTCATTCTCTGAATAATGCAAAGGTTGCAAAACATAAATATTCAACCAACAAAAGTAAAAGTACAATATCTAGGGTTAAGAGGTAACAGCTACGTCAAAGTGAAAGTAAAGTGAGTAAAATGAAGGTTTTCTTACCATTATCTGCATGAGGAAATGAAACAAAAACAAAACATACATAAAAGTTATCTTCAGTACTGAGTGTTGACACTATCTGTTTGGAGACGGAGTCGCCATATCAGACAGATCAATAGGAAGCATTTATTATAGGTCAGTGTACATCTATACAAATGGAGAGAACGTTTTGAATTGTCAAAAATTACACACAAGCATATTAGCAGCAATGAGAAGAGCAGTATAAAACAGATAGCTGATCCTCCGGAGGTGTTCACATATCATTACTTTACTCCCCCAACATATTAACTTATTAATCCTCCATGGGGATAATTGTTTTACCTAAAAAGTTGATTTCATATTTTTTTCCGGCAAAAGTGGAATTATCACAGCATGCATTAATTCTTAAGCGTGCAAAAGTAATTTGTATTTGTAATTACAGATATGGACTCTTATAGACCAAATGTTATTGACAGAGCTATATACTTAATCTGAAAGTATGCAGTAAAATTGATTATCCCCCCCGCACAAACTTGACTGTCCGTGGAGTTATAGTCCAAATAAAACACCCCTATAGGCTAACTCCCTCAGCAGGATAAGGGTAGGCTGACCTGACCTCACCCAGTTATTATTGACCAGAGACAACAGTCCTGACAATATTAAAAGAGTCCATATGGAACTTAAGAGTTTCAGAAATTTTGGTTGGGATATTGTTTTCTTTTTAAAGAAGCATCATTGCATTTTTTATCAGTACAATAAAACTGCTAAAGTATGGGATTTTGGGATTAAGCAAATTTCTTGTTCCCTTTGACCGGCTGGGGGAACCGAGACTTGTTAATATCCTTCCAGCCCATACTTTAACTATATTACAGCATACATTAATACTCTCAATCAAAATTATGATACAAGAATTACTGCTTTTTATGCAATTCACATTTTCATGGTCAATTTTCTTCAATTTGTATCATCTGTTCCTCTGATAATTATACATTACAACTACACAAATTATTAACCACATGACATACACACAAAATTGACTACTTAGTTTCCATCTGTATTTTGAAATCATAAACTAAATACAAGCTAATGAAATTTATCCCAGCAAAGAATGCTTCCAAATGAAAAAGTGCATGCATAGAACGAATCCTTTAGAGGTATTATAATGAATTATCAATTCCTAGAAACATGAGGCCGTTTCCTATGTAATAAGTAAAAAGGTTATTATTGTTATGTCCTGAACACATTTCAGAGTAAGCTGTGGGTAAGAAACAATGATAACAACAGTAAACCACTGGAACAGTTTCCTACATCATTTTACATATTATGTAAGGAAGACCAAAGTGCTTCTTTGATCCGTTAAAAATATACGTTGTTAGCTATAATGATAAAATATTTCCCCCTTCGGGAAACCCTTTTTGATGAAAATATTAAATCAACGATCATTCTCCATCAGGGCCATGTATGCATTTCAAACATGTCACATTATGCCTTAATTAGAAATAAATACATGTCACTCAGAAGAGGGTGGGAGAGTGTTTGCTCAAACAGAGCATGGAGGGACATACAGGGGCGAGTGTAAACACACTCATAAATACTGTGTCCAGAAACTTTCTTATGCTGCATTCTATATATACAAGAAAACATAAATATTGTAATATTATAAGTTTTGGGAATGTGCTTGCATTCTTTTTTTTCACATGGTAAAGAGGTTAGAGAACAAACATGATATGTCTAGATGCACAGTGGTGAACATACAGAGTAGCATGACCTTCAATAATAACAAAAACCGAAATATATTATGTACAAGTTAAGTTATCTGCAGGCAAGTATTTCCAGTTTTTTCAATTAATTATTTACGATACGTGGTAGACAAGTTATCTGATACTGATTCTGGGTTACCTCAATATTTCAGCAGGCACATGAAAACAGGTTAAATAGTGTTAGCGAATGTAAGTATCAACATATTTAACACCAAGCCTCTCCAAATGTGATTCAAACGTGGAGGATTCTGCATGGTGATATAATTGTGTACATTTTATAGTTACCCTGAGGAATACTTTCAGATATTATAAAAGTAAGGGTACCATTCCCAGTTATATTAAAAGGATAGAATTAGTTAATTAGAAATGCCATGGATAAAACAAACAGTGGCTAATTAAGCTCTTTAGAACAGAATTGTGCTCTTTTCTCCAGATCTGAATTGAAATTCATTTAACAGGTTATGTAACTTGAAAGAAAATAAAGGGGATATAATCCAGCTTTCCTTTGTATGTATTAAATGATGTTCTTATTTAAAACAAAACAGTTAAATTATTTTAGACATAAACTACACGACAAAAAGCTGCTACATAGAGTACACCGTGTTTGATCAAAATACGAATTACACAAAGAGGGGATTAAAATGTTAAATTAAAAAAAAAAATGTTGTTTTAGGACAACATCAATCTTGGATAAAAAGTTAGTGAAATACAAATGAATGCCAGGGGTGCCACTACATTGGTCCCAGGACACTGGACTGTCAATGTGTGGGCATGCTGGGGGCCTGTACATGTCAATATTAACTACATGCACAAGGTTGTCAGTTTACATACCCTTTTGAAAAATACTACTAAAAACGGTCATATTCTGTCAAGACAAAAATGATAAATATCTTCAGCATGTGTTAAGTAGATTTCATTGCAGACTGGAGTTTAAAGAGGATTGGACGTTTTTTGGCTTATGATATATATCTAGTCACCTAAAAGAGTTAATATTAGGAGACACTTCACAATACTGAGAGTCAAATCATATCCTACCCATCATCTGGGAATGTTTCCAGGGTTTTCTCAAACCCTTAATCCTATCATCATCTGGGAATGTTTCTAGGGTTTTCTCAAACCCTTAATCCTATCATCATCCGAGAATGTTTCTGCAATTTTCTCAAACCTAAATCCTACCATCGTCTGGAGATGTTTCTAGGGTTTTCTCAAGCCCTAATTTCTGCAGTTTTCTCAAACCTTAAATCTTTCAATCATCTGATTATATTTCTGGGGTTCACTAACCCTCTTAAATTATTAAATTTTGGGGAAGCAAAACAACAGAAAAAACACATTTTTAACTGAATAGGAACAAAGAATTATTCACACAATTCAGAACTGTATCGTCTCAAATGTGCTGGGAGAAAAACATCACAAAATCTAAATGCAAAAGTTCATCTGCATCGAAAATAAATATGAATACAAAGAATTCAAGAAATGTATTATTGATAAAAAATACTGACTGAAACATTCTTGAGCCTGAAGGACAAAACAAAAATGAAGAAATTTTAAACACACAATTTCAACCAATTGTGCTTATCATATTCGTACTGAAAATGAATTTCAAATATTTCATTTGTGAAGTTGTTCAGGATGCATAACTGCAGTGCTGGATGAAGAAGCTTGCATTACATTTAGCAAGCATGTTTAGAAAGGCAAGTGAAATTTCTCTAATGAAATCAATTCCTTACAAGTTTTGATTTCCTTTTGTTTTTCCTGTCATCAAATCTGTAAAGTTAACACCAATGGGAACTCCACACTGAGATTGACATGAATGCGAATCTCACTGCAGATAATGAACCTAGGAAACATACAATAGTAGTGATGTCCAAATCAAGGGTTTCAAATTAGGTAAATATGTACTCCAATGAGGAACAGCATTGGGATACCCACGACAGAGGTGTTATCCCAAATATAGCCCAACATTTAAATACACACGAAATGGATTGTGTCAATCTCAATATAACAGGGGAGAAAAGGTTATAAACATACAGTTGATTTCACTAGAGAACAAAGATGGCACACGCACAAGAGGCTTAAAAGATCAAGTATTCTCTGAGAACTGGAGACAGAAATGCCCAATGAACAGTCACAGAAGTGACAGTCCTTTCCCTCCAAATACACACTTTCTACGTCAGCGGGCTATTTCTGGAACCACACAGAGAGAGGAGTGTTTAATCTTATTACTAAAATGTATATTACCTCTGTTTTCTTGCTCATTTTTTTAGCGTTACTTGCTGCTATCTATAATGTGTAATAATGGACATGTTGTCAATGTAAACGTTAGCTATTATAATGATGATTCGCCAATACAGATGTTTAAAAAAACAAAGCAAACTAAAGAAAAAATGATGAAATGAGTTGTGTTGTTGTGTAGTAACAGAATAAACTTGTAACATGAACACACATCACCCCTTACATTACAACCCTCCCCAGCCCTCTATCTGACTTCCGTTATCAATGGTACATAAACCTTAGGCATGTCTTCATGGTCACAGTGATTTATTTGCTGTCACTAAATTACATATCAAACAGCAAGAAATGATCTTAATAGTTGTCATACATCCTTATATGAAATCCAGGGACAAGGAGCTATCCATGTTCTGACTGTCTCCACAAAATCTACTGATTGTCTCCCCTACACTGAACACATCCCATCATTGTTCACTATCCTCTATATACAAAACACAGATCATCCCACCACCTTTGTCCCCAAGTCCAGTATTTCGCACCATCGATCTAGTGAAAATACGAAGGCGAAGCCCAATCTTTCACTGCCCTTGCCTCTCTTGGTTATCATGCATTTTCCAAAATGTACATTGAAACCTGCATTAGGAACAGTGGGACTTCGCTCTATACAAGCATCTATGTATGATTAACATGGTTGGACTCCCTTCACCAGCCTTTGGACTGCCTACATATTTCATATTGTGCAATACTGTCCATATAGTGCGCCTCCTTCACCATCCTTAAGACACGTTAAATATTGTGTATATATAGTGCAACTCCTTCAAGAATATATAGAACTGCTTGGATACATCAAGTTGTATTATCTCTACCCTACAAACCCTCCTATACCAGTTCTACACCTGGTGTAGATTTCTTTACTACCCTACTATATAAAGCACCATGCATTACCCTTGGTTCTGCCACCCCGGGGCGCTTGGCTATATGGTGCGCCAACCCACACCAGCTTAAGTTTACATGACGGTGAGTACTGTTAGGACTGCCTTGTGACACTGGGTTGTACCACACAACGTACCTCGTTGGCCTCCCTTTGTAATTTTTCCATGTTGACGACAACCTCCCCATCCTCCTCGGTCCCTATACTGTTAGGCGTCCCTGGATTTCCGGGCTTCTCACCATTAGTTAAAAAAATTGCATACTCTCTGAACTGTAGAGAAACACAAGTAAATTGTGTACACAGGGTTGCTAGTGTATTATCTCCCCTTGACAGTCTGGATAACAGCCATACTTCTAAACTCACTTGTACCTCCATACCCAAGTCTCTAAACCAAAACTCATAACAATACACAAAGAACTTTCCATATTTTCCTTCTTTACTGTATTTAAAATTCAATCAACTGTTACATTTTGGTACTCGGATTGATTCTATTTTATTTTTTTTGTAAACAGATTGATGTTTAAAGGTTACTGTAAAACAAAACTTCAAATAAGAGAAATATCTTTTGAAATTTTAATTTTGATGAAACGAAATGATAATATTATCGGCCTATGATGGCTAGCTACGTCACAGGTTTTTCTGAGACACCGAGTGTAGAAGATGCTGTGTTGATCACAGAGTGTTGTTGAGTGTGTTCATCTGTTACAGAACATAAAGTGTTAAAATCATAAATGTCGGTATCTGCTTTAATGAAACAAACTAAATAAGTGTTTACAACTTGGGATTTTTCTTTATATCAAACTTGCAACAAAAATTTCAAAATATGTGTTAATACCTGTTTTTTAGGATGATAACCATCTTTAATAAATCTTTTACAATTGTCCTATAAGAGCCAAACTGCATTCTCGATTTTGCACACATTTCAAAACGATCGGAATTAATGTTTCATAAGGGGAGAGGGAAATCCAGACTCGAAACACCACTCAAACTTGAAGCAGTAAACTTTTCTGTGCGTTTCTTCAGCATTGCCTTTACAATCATCCATCATGCAACTTTCAAAATGACAATTTGGTGCCAGGTTCTAGTCAGTGCACTAAGGTTTTCTTCAGCGGGCGTTATTTCAGGTCATGAGTACAACTCACAATAGCAGATAAAAATATTCCACCTTGAAGTCAGATTAGCTAATCTCCTTCCACATCTAGAAGAAGTGGTTTCATCACCGAATCCACATTGTTGTTCATATTATTCATGTGATTTCAATTTTCAGTTTAAAATCATTTGAAGTTTGAAGAAAAGCTTAGTTGCTGGACTAGAACAGGGCCAATCACTTTCCATATCATAGGGGATGTCCAGAAGTCAATGTAACATGCACATTAAATGAACATTTCCAACCATCACTTTTTCTTAATATGACTCATTGTAAAATGCTCTAGAATTTAACTGATATTGTATATCAATATTACTGAGAGAAACTTCTGTAACCTAAAACATGTCACCTACCACCCACATTCTCTGTTTGTCCTTAAATTGATCTAGTTTTTTTCTTACTACATTAATAACACACTGTAAGGTGAAGAATTTCCTACTTTAAGAACAGACAGACAGAGACAAAATGAAACCCCAATGTCCCCCTTGTTACTAGCAAAAGCTTTCTAATAACAAAGTTCTTTAGAAATCTATCACAAAACCTAAACATTGAAGTTATACGACAAATGTCAAACAGGATTAAATATGAACAGGTACATTAATAAAATAGCTTGGCAAAACTTTTTCCTCTAGCCAGAAATGACTCTATACATTTGACCAGGTGTGTACTTACTTGCGGATTTCCTAACGCTAGGTTGTGCACTTTCGTCCAGGCATCATCTCGATGCTTATTTTTCTCCTTTTCTCTGTAAAGAAAATGGTCAAGATAATGATTGATAGTCTTACATGAGTATCAAGATTGTCTGATAGTCTTAAACGAGTACCAAGATTGTCTGATAGTCTTACACAAGTACCAAGATTGTCTGATAGTCTTACATGAGTAACAAGATTGTCTGATAGTCTTACATGAGTACACAGATTGTCTGATAGTCTTACACGAGTACCAAGATAATGTTTGATAGTCTTACACGAGTACCGAGATTGTCTGATAGCCTTACATGAGTACCAAGATTGTCTGATAATCTTACAAGAGTAACAAGATTGTCTGATAGTCTTACACAAGTACCAAAATTGTCTGATAGTCTTACATGAGTACCGAGATTGTCTGATAGCCTTACACGAGTACCAAGATTGTCTGATTATCTTACAAGAGTAACAAGATTGTCTGATAGCCTTACACGAGTACCAAGATTGTCTGATAATCTTACAAGAGTAACAAGATTGTCTGATAGTCTTACATGAGTACACAGATTGTCTGATAGTCTTACACAAGTACCAAGATTGTCTGATAGTCTTACATGAGTACCAAGATTGTCTGATGGTCTTACATGAGTACCAAGATTGTCTGATAGTCTTACACAAGTACAAAGATTGTCTGATAGTCTTACATGAATACAGATTGTCTGATAGTCTTACACAAGTACCAAGATTGTCTGATAGTCTTACACAAGTACCAAGATTGTCTGATGGTCTTACATGAGTACCAAGATTGTCTGATAGTCTTACACAAGTACCAAGATTACGACAAGAACTGGAACAAAAACTTGACAATAATTCCATGCTTTCCTATTTTCAACAGATTTTTCTAAATCTAAACACAAGTTTCTTACTTGTAAGAGAGTCAGTCACTGGTATCTTACTTTTGTCGCTCTGCCATGTACTACCATACTAGTTCCCCAAGTCAATCTAAAACTATAAACTAGTTTCCTACTTGTAAGGGCCAGTCACTGATATCTTACTTCTGTCACTCTGCTATGTACTATCATACTAGTTTCCCAAGACAATTTAAAACTATATACTAGTTTTCTTCTTGTAAGGGTCAGTCACTGGTATCTTACTTCTGTCACTCTGCTATGTACTATCATACTAGTTTCTTAAGACAATCTACAACTATACACTAGTTTCCTACTTGTAAGGGCCAGTCACTGGTATCTTACTTTTGTCACTCTGCTTTGTACTATCATACTAGTTTCCTAAGACATTCTACAACTATATATTAGTTTCCTACTTGTAAGGGCCAGTCACTGGTATCTTACTTTTGTCGCTCTGCTATGTACTATCATACTAGTTTCCCAAGACAATCTACAACTATATACTAGTTTCCTACTTGTAAGGGTCAGTCACTGGTATCTTACTTTTGTCGCTCTGCTTTGTACTATCATACTAGTTTCCTAAGACAATCTACAATTATATACTTGTTTCCTACTTGTAAGGGCCAGTCACTGATATCTTACTTTTGTCGCTCTGCTATGTACTATCATACTAGTTCCCCAAGACAATCTACAACTATATACTAGTTTCCTACTTGTAAGGGTCAGTCACTGGTATCTTACTTTTGTCACTCTGCTATGTACTATCATACTAGTTTCCTAAGACAATCTACAACTATACACTAGTTTCCTACTTGTAAGGGCCAGTCACTGGTATCTTACTTTTGTCGCTCTGCCATGTACTATCATACTAGTTCCGTAAGACAATTAACAACTATAAACTAGTTTCCTACTTGTAAGGGCCAGTCACTGGTATCTTACTTCTGTCACTCTGCCATGTACTATCAGTCACTGGTATCTTACTTTTGTCGCTCTTCCATGTACTATCATACTAGTTTCCTAAGACAATCTATAACTATAAACTAGTTTCCTACTTGTAAGGGCCAGTCACTGGTATCTTACTTTTGTCGCTCTGCCATGTACTATCATACTAGTTCCCTAAGACAATCTATAACTATACACTAGTTTCCTACTTGTAAGGGCCAGTCACTGGTATCTTACTTTTGTCGCTCTGCCATGTACTATCATACTAGTTTCCTAAGACAATCTACAACTATATACTAGTTTCCTACTTGTAAGGGCCAGTCACTGGTATCTTACTTTTGTCGCTCTGCCATGTACTATCATACTAGTTTCCTAAGACAATCTACAACTATATACTAGTTTCCTACTTGTAAGGGCCAGTCACTGGTATCTTACTTTTGTCGCTCTGCCATGTACTATCATACTAGTTTCCTAAGACAATCTACAACTATATACTAGTTTCCTACTTGTAAGGGCCAGTCACTGGTATCTTACTTTTGTCGCTCTGCCATGTACTATCATACTAGTTTCCTAAGACAATCTACAACTATATACTAGTTTCCTACTTGTAAGGGCCAGTCACTGGTATCTTACTTTTGTCGCTCTGCCATGTACTATCATACTAGTTCCCTAAGACAATCTATAACTATATACTAGTTTCCTACTTGTAAGGGCCAGTCACTGGTATCTTACTTTTGTCGCTCTGCCATGTACTATCATACTAGTTCCCTAAGACAATCTACAACTATATACTAGTTTCCTACTTGTAAGGGCCAGTCACTGGTATCTTACTTTTGTCGCTCTGCCATGTACTATCATACTAGTTCCCTAAGACAATCTACAACTATATACTAGTTTCCTACTTGTAAGGGCCAGTCACTGGTATCTTACTTTTGTCGCTCTGCCATGTACTATCATACTAGTTCCCTAAGACAATCTACAACTATATACTAGTTTCCTACTTGTAAGGGCCAGTCACTGGTATCTTACTTTTGTCGCTCTGCCATGTACTATCATACTAGTTCCGTAAGACAATTAACAACTATAAACTAGTTTCCTACTTGTAAGGGCCAGTCACTGGTATCTTACTTCTGTCACTCTGCCATGTACTATCATACTAGTTCCCTAAGACAATCTACAACTATATACTAGTTTCCTACTTGTAAGGGCCAGTCACTGGTATCTTACTTTTGTCGCTCCGCCATGTACTATCATACTAGTTCCCTAAGACAATCTATAACTATACACTAGTTTCCTACTTGTAAGGGCCAGTCACTGGTATCTTACTTTTGTCGCTCTGCCATGTACTATCATACTAGTTCCGTAAGACAATTAACAACTATAAACTAGTTTCCTACTTGTAAGGGCCAGTCACTGGTATCTTACTTCTGTCACTCTGCCATGTACTATCATACTAGTTTCCTAAGACAATCTACAACTATATACTAGTTTCCTACTTGTAAGGGCCAGTCACTGGTATCTTACTTTTGTCTCTCTGCCTTGTATTGTTGTGTACAATCATCAAACAATTTCTGGTTCATCTCCATGAACAGCTTCAGAGCATTGTATATAAGCCCGTGTATCGTCCTGCAAAATAACACATATAATGCATCCTCACATAGCAATGTAAATCAGATTAAAGATCAAATCATTTTCTTGATATCCATTATACACAATCAACATTTTCCCCCACTATTCAAACAAATTGCAAAATTTTAATCTCAAATAAAGAAAATAACTTATAATTATCAGAATATTATATAGCACTATTAAAGAATTTATTGTAGAACAGTTCAGTTTAAGATCAAATGTTTGTTAATATGTGGGTCAGCGGTTTGCTGACCGATTCACTCTGTTAATTATATGAGCTCATCAGACACGATTATGAAATTAATATTTAAAACACTCCAGTAAACCATTACACACAATTTATTTCACATCAAATCCATGCTCCAAAATTTCTATCTGGTGTTCAGTAGCTCACGGCTGGCTTATTTACTTTCATTTTAGATGTGCACAAGTTTTCATTTAACAGAAGGTAATTTGGATGATGTAATAAACGGTGAAAGATACTTTCAAGAGAGATAACTTCTATGTTTGACAGACAACATATAGAGATCAAAATTGTCCATGCTCCAGACAAAGTTTTATACCAAAGAAAAAAAAAATCAACATGCAAAATTATAATAAATTTACATATCTTTATAAAAAATTACAATCAAATTCCAAAAGTTCAGAAAAAATATTAACATGCAAGATAACCACAATAATTTACTTGAATAACAGAAAAATTACCTATTTGCAGAATGGAAGTTTTCATCTTTTGTTTTTACCCAAAATCCATTACATCAAAGCCAGTGCTCGTATTTACGGCACATCAATATCTCACTCCAAACATGGAAAGTGCAGACAGTAGAAAATTGTAAAATCTTGAGCAAACATACTGTAACAGAATCACTAAGCCAAAACCAATTGGGTCAGACTGTCTGCTAGATTTTCTGTCCTACAGCTACATATGAAGAATGCTGACTCTGAACAATGTATCAGCATATTAGATAAGAAATCCATAAAGGAATACATTTTTACCCAAAAAAATCTAAACTAAGTAACATACCTTCACATGAAACAAGAACTGAAAATATCAATACAGGGGACATATCCTTAATGTGTGTTTCTGAGACCCATGAATGCTGTGAATGTCTGACCGGCACAGTGTGGTGACAGGGAACATTAAACAGTGGGACCCAGCAATATGTGACCGATAACTTGACAATTAGGGTGCCGTCCTGTGGCCTTACTTGTTCCAGTGCTCCTTGCTCCTATACAAAGCTGGGAACATGATAGGCAGGATGGTAGAGGCATTGTCAGTGATCAAACTCAAGATGTACTCATTATTCCAAAAGTACAGAGCTCTCTCTGCTACCTGTAGATCAAATCAACAACAAAGGGCACATAACTTGTCTGAACAAATACTTCAGTTATTAAAACAGTAAGTAAATAAAGACGACAACACAAATAATAGATATTAAAATGAAAAGCCAGCAAACTGAGACACTGCTAGGATAAAAAAAGTATGAAATGAAGAATTTTAAGCAAGCCACAGTATTATTGTATGTATAAGAAATAATCAAGACAACCATTCACCCTGATCATGAATTCACTACAAACATCACATATTCCCTTTTTGCGTAACTGTTATTGTTACCATTGCTACTTATTAAATTTGGCAATTGCAATCAATAAATTATGGATGATTAAAACACAATACCACTAATGTAGTTTAAATTTGCATAATTAGTCTTTAAAATTTATGAAAGCAACAAAAACAAAGAAACAATGCATCGCATTTGAACAGAATTTATGGAATGAAGTGTATTCATGACCAGTATCACAAAACTGTTATCACACAAAATCAAAAAGCAAGAAGACATCTGCTATTGACACTTCCAATGTTTAATTGTTAAAAGAAAAGTAAAACCAGCCATGGCATGAACCCTTGGCTGGTACAGGTCGGCAGGGGCACGACACGGGCTGTCGCTGGGATGCCGGCTTACTTGTTCCAGTGCTGCTTGGTGCGATAAAGGGCAGGAAACATGAGGGGCAGAATGACGCAAACATTATCGCAGATCATACTGAGGATATACTCGTTGTTCCAGTAGTACAAGGCTCGTTCTGCTACCTGTAAACAAATCTTCGTGGTTAGACGGCAAACACATATCAAACCCTGTGTCCTTGGTATAAAAAAGAAGCTGTCTTCACTCATACAGTTAACCTACAATGGTTTTAAAAAGTTAATACAACATACAAAATATTTGAACAAAAAGTGAGGTCATACATAAAATATATTATAAATCTTACAGATGTGGGACAATGATAATCATTACCAAGGTCACATCCCTGGTCAGACATGTCAACACTCTGACACACAATAACAGTAGACCATTTTTGTCATAGCAAACTGCAATTCTATGCTACTAGATTGTTAGCGCAAACACAGATCCCCTTCAGTCTCTGTCCAATGCTTGAAAAATACTGTTTCAATAAACATATATATTGGAGTCCCAAAATTAGGACACTATTTGGGTGTATCACTGAGCTAGTTTTTAGGTTAAAGATTCCTATGATGGATGGATGTAAGTTGTGATACTTTCTTCTAAGAGACTGATCCTTCATTTAGAAATCAAACATGTTTAATCCTGTGTAAAAGCAATTACAAAACCTTTGTATCAATACTATACATATGCCTCTTCTCTCACTTTGAGGAAAATGGAGCTTAACACGAACGAGCTAAACACAAAGTCTAACTAAAGTCAGTAAAGTGGAAAATATAAGTCGCAATGCTCTATATGATGGTGTAGTACACCTCAGAAAGTACATATCAAGTTTTAAAATATGGAAACTGAAGAATCTAACTAAACTCAATGTGTATAAATACTTCTAGTATCGGAGAAATAGAGTTAAATGCATTTAGTACAACTCAAGTCAGTAAAGCTGGAAATATAGGTCTCGAGTGACCTTCAATTTCTATATTGGTATATGAACTTTGATTACAATGGGACTTTTAGTATTAAGAGAAATGGAGCTGAACGAAATGTAAAACACAAACGTTTGATTGACAGACCAACGTAAAAGTCAAACACTCAATGTCCATCCACTGCCATGGCAAAGGCATTAAAACATGTTTACTATATGTTGACTGTACAAGAATGGTTTAATACAATTCATTTGACCAAGACACTAGTTACTTCAGGGCCCAGTCAACCGCTTAGTATTTCATCTGTTTATCCTGTTATATTAACTCCACCAACACTCTCCAGTGTTACAATCGGATACACACCTGAAAGTGGGGACTGGACACACATTTGGCTAGCTGTTTGAAGAGTGGGTTCATCACCTTGGTGAACTCAGCGGGTTCTATCACATCTAAAATCTCTTCCAATTCATTCAAAAACATCACCTGGGAACAAGCGTTGTATTCAATGAACAAATTCAAAATCAAGACACAAAATATAATTTTCAAAAGCTGCTAGAAAAGTGTTACTTCATATTTTCCAAAATTATTTTTGAACAAGACGTCCGGAAAGAATGAAATTCTGCTACATTCCATGCACGATATATTTTGAATTTTTCTCTGGCCTAATGAAAATGATAGAGCAAGAACATGATTTGGAAGCATACCTCTTTTGGACTATGGACCTTCGGCCAAAATTTCAATAATCCCATTATGACCTGGAATAAAAAGTAAACAATATTATACCGACAGAAATTGATATTCTAAAACATTCCGTTATCACTTCCCCTAGAACATGATGTACAAAGCATATATTTTGTCTTTTTAAAAAAAATGAAACATAAGATGTAAATTCAATGAATTTCAAGATATGACAATGTATATTAATGAGGACTTACAACATATACATGGACAAACATCTGATCAAACTTGTCAAAAGTCCTGTCTAGTCTATAATGACCATTTTCAAAATTTCAAGAGTTAATGTCACCACAGAAATCTGCTTTACATAAACTGTCCTAACCAGCTATCAACATCCAACATTATTTTTAAAACACTTGATCAAGTATAGAGGACCTCAAGTCCTGACCGAGGGAGAACTCACCGGTTCTGTTAGACTGGGGTCCTTTTCTAAGAACTGTACCACACAGTAGGCCAGCTGTGGGTGGTACACGCTCAGAGACTTCACCTTGTGGAGGGGTAACAGGACCTTTAGTAGGAAGACTTTGTGCTCCTCCTTCAGCGGCAATGCAAAACCATTAATAATACTGAAATATAAACGAAACCCATTAATAATACTGAAATATAACATGAAACCCATTAATAATACTGAAATATAACATGAAACCCATTAATAATACTGAAATGAAACATGAAACCCATTAATAATACTGAAATATAACACGAAACCAATTAATAATACTGAAATACAACACGAAACCAATTAATAATACTGAAATATAACACGAAACCCATTAATAATACTGAAATACAACACCAAATTACTTTATGAATACTTATATAAAATCAGTGTTCCCAGAAACCCACAACTGAGGGTTTGTCATCCCCAAAAACAGTTGGTTGTACAACCAGTTTTCAAGAATTGACTTTGTAATTAGGTATCTATGGGTACAGAATCTTATCCAATATACCACCAAATCTAAAGTTCCGTGGGAAACACTTACACTAATTGTTCAAGTTCAAAGATAGCTTGTTAACTTTGCCCAATCCAATTTTAATTTACAGCAATAGAAAGTCCAAACTAGGTTTAGCACAGACATCTTTACAGGCTTCTTGAGAATTTTCTATTATCCAACAAATTCTGTATTTAATAACAAAGCACTGATTTTAATTAAAGCATTTTTCTTAATTATTTTCATGTACATAGTATCTGGTTGAACAGGCTTTTTTTTTTTTTTTTTAAATAACTTACCTTCCCAATATTTCTAGTAATTCTGCTATACCATTATGATGTTCTGTTTCATAAATAAAACTGAAAATAAAATATAAACAACAAATTATTTATTTATTTATTAAAAAAGTTCTTTGATTGCAATATATAGGTTTTGAAACAAATTACCTATGAATTCATTGGAAATGTGTTTACAATACATCACATCTGACACAGGATGTTAATTTCCAGTTTTCAAAATTGACACATTTTGTATGCTTTGCATGGGGGGAAATAATACAGAAATTTAAACAGGAAGTTATATGTGAAAATTACACCTGCACAAAAACATCCACACTTTCAGTTCAATTTAAATCAAATACTGTAATAAAATTCCTTACCAAAATAACATAAATAATAGCACTGATACTGACCAAACAAACGACATCCATATTGAACGTAATATTTACACATTTTGATTGTTTAATTACCCAAATATTAATATTATACATATAAAACTGATACTGACCAAACAAACTACATCCATATCAAACTTGAGATTAAACATTTTACTTTGATAAAGAATTGAAAATGAAGATACACTTTGTAAATTCTGAGATTCAAGACAATTAAAAAAAAACAACTTGAACAATGAATATTCTTCAAAACAAATTTTGAAACTGTAACCATACAACTGTTGGAGCTTAAAGCTAGCATATAAACCAGCATGGTGCAACTTGTTTATGGTAAAGAGCCATCACAGCTGCAGCATGACAAATTTCTTAGCCAATAAACACATTATCTGATTACAAAACTGTAAGCCTGCCAGGCTTCTAAACAGGTGCTTGTTTAGGTTCTATCAATCCTTATACAGTCCTATAGAAAATCAATATCATCCATTAGACAGTCGTGTCTTTCTAAACTATCAGTATTGTACACATTAGTGTTAGCCTAACAAGTACAATCCGAGAATACAGGTTCTGCCTTGGTTTTCCTAGCATGCTCTGTACATATCCTGAAGACAATCGGCAGTGAAACTTGTCATTGCTTACTCTACACCACAGTATTATTTTACAGTCTTACTCTACACCAATGTCACCACAGTATTATTTTACGGTCTTATTCTATACCAATGTCACCACAGTATTTATTCCATTAAAACAGTGGATACATTTTAAGAGAACTACATCATTACCTGACAAATGAGCAGCTTTGGATGACCGACAGATGGCAGAAAGCTGACAAATTTATCAACAAAGTTACAACACTGTCTTCTCATCAATCTGATCCAGACAACCCAATTAATACACACAGATTGGTTTTCTTGAACACAAATACCATTCTGGTTGTTTCAGTGTTTTTTCAGCCATACTGTACCGATGTAACCCCATGACAAAACTGTCTTGTGGCAACATTACAGTAAGATGCAGCAGTGAACCTAGTTTAGAATTAATATTTTCCAATATTTGGTAAATGATCCATGTTTATTCTGATAGTGAACTATGTACTTACCTATAAAATATATTGTTGATTTGTTTCCTGATGTATGCTCGAAGTCCCAAAAATTTCCCATATATTCTGTGTAATATCGTTTTCAAGAAATCTCTTTCCCTAGGGTCTTCACTGTCAAATAATTCTAATTGCTGAAAATTCAACAAGAAATAGATTTAAGGGGATATATATACATTCATGTTATTGTCAATTTAAGTTCCTTTACAGGGAATGTCACCTCTGAAGCAGGATTGAGGTAAATTAATGCATATCAAAAGACTCATTATAATTCTTTCTATACAAGATTTCATTTAAGGTTGAAAGCTCTAATGCTCTGTGTCTCCAACGAAGAAGATTTCCAATTTGTTTGGCATGTTTCTGACTTGAAGTAAACTGACATTTTACAGTAGCAGAGATTACATATTATATAAATATATTTCAAATTATAATTTCTCTTGAATATTTTTTCACAAATACATCTCTGCCACAGATATTTGATCCCTGAACCATTTGATTACAAAGCCGGGAGCTTATCTTATACACTATTGGGACATATTTGCTATAGTACCAGAAATAAATTTGAAATGATTGTTAATATAGATGAAAGAGTATGAATCTTTAGGAAAATTAGGTTTAATAAAACTCTTCAATAACTCTATCATAACCCTCTATACATAACTGTTGATTAAATTGGAGTCTGTATGGTTAAACATAGGATTTATATCCTAATTTTGAAGTGCATATGTACATCAACCCTACTCATCTGTACTTACTTGTAATACAAATTTCTGGTCTATATACCGCTTGGCTGTATTGGGTTGAAAGTCTGGAGACTCCAAAAACCGTAGAAAAAATTCATAAACCAACTGAAAATAAAAGAATTATGGTTATAATGGCACAAAAATAGCTACATGTCTGAATAAACTAGGATTATATTGTAGGATCAGAAATGAATTCTCTTAGAGATATCAGAGAAACGGAAGTCTAGTGGTAGGACGCCGTGACGAAATGTTGCGGGTTCGAGTCACGTCATGGCACTGTGTTGTATTCTTGAGCAAGATACTTTACTCTGCTTGTTCCAGTCTACTCAGCTGTAAATGAGTATGTGGTTGATCAGTGCTAGAATTGTTGAATGCTAGCTGTGAGCGCCGAAATGGCAGCACTGGCTGTATGCTCCCCTAGAAGTTGAGAAAGGTATTGGCAGGTTGCAAAGGCCCTATAACCACGGATAATAATTTGTGAACCTCTTTGAGATGACCTACGAACTAGGTTGTGATAAAGCGGTATATAAGAACCTCAAATTATTATTATTATGACAGTCGTTCTCTACAGTGTCAGACGGTGACCTTCACCTTGGCATCTTGAAACACAAAGCCCATCAAGGTCTAGTACTTGACCAATACATGATGTTTGATAAACAATATCTGTTAAGAAAAAAAGTCACTTAAAAATAATATTTATTTCAAAAAAAGAAAAGATCAACCATGACCTGAAACATAATTCTATTTTGGGTATTCTGTTATTTGACCAAAACAGGAAGCTGAATCAAAATTCTTGCAGAAATAAAGTTTCTAGAGTGTTGACAACAGGTTAACATACGACAATCATTACAGTACATACAAATCAATGAATGGAACATTTATCCTCTCCACCACCTTGTTGCAAAGGGATATCAATATGTATTTCCATACTTAAAACTTAGCACTGGTACCCTACCTAGAATCCACTCTTACCTGTAAGTGTGGCCATGACGCCTCTAACGTTGGTTCATCCTCCTCAGGGTCAAACTCGGCCCCATTGGGATTCGATGAAGGGGGTAACGTCCTGAAGAAATTGACTGAAAACTGCAAAACATAAAGTACGTTAGATACTAACGGTAAAATGTTACATAAAATACATCAGAACTTTATAATGGAATAAGATTACTCCCAATGACATGATATGTATACAGGTACACATTCTCAACCACTGTAACAATGATTATCAGCAACAATGTCACTAACTGCTAACTGTGACTTTGGAACGAGGACATGAAGTCTGATTTCAGTAGTTTGTATGACATGGTGATATGTGTATATATATTCAATTATTATTATCTAGTAGTTGTATTTTTTTGGGTTCAAATTCTTCGTATTCCTAAAATTCAAATTCCAGATCTGTTCGATAATTAGTCATGCCGCTGCAACTTCCTGCTTGATAAACAGACATTTTCTTCCTAGCAAAAATGATGTCCATCATTTGTTAACTAGTACATGTATAAATGCAAAAGCAGTGACATGACCTATTAACTCAGGTACATATTCTATAGGTTTAGTTCTTAGATCAATTTTGAATATCTTCAATTTAGTGGTAGAGCAAAAAGTTATGCACTGAACAAATACACTGATATATGATAAATCATTGATGTTGATGCATGAAAATAAAATCTTGAAATAAAACCTGTTATAACTATGGGCTCTAGTCTACAGACAGATGCCTACCATTACTATGGCCTCAGGGTAAATGGCCTCTGTGATGACACCCCTGTTCTGGGTGACAAACTCTACCATCTCATTGAGGGCTGCCCTTTTCACCTCCTTCCATTTGAGGTCACTTAGAGGATCCTGAACAAAGTCAAACAGTACACAGCACTGTCGGATCTTCTGTATAAACAGGTCCTCCCTCTCTGCCGGCGTTGCATCTGCAATGAAAAGAACTTTGTATGTGTATGCCTTTCTTCAAAAGGTATATATGACAAGGAGGCCTATTTTGTAAGTTTTCTTTAGAAACTGGTATGCCAGATGACAAGTATTGGGGCTATACCTGTAAGATATTGTACAACAGAGAAATCAAAGCACTGGTGTAAAACAAAGGACAGATAAACTATCAATGACCAGGCAAACTGTGGCTTCAACTGATTTATATCAATGTTCTCACCATTTGCATTGGGGTCCCGGGGGTAGGGTAAAATAGCCTAGTAATCGACAGATTTTTTCAAATGTTTAAAAATGAGCAAATAATATGATTGATGTTTGTGTTACTACATGCATATTCCATGGGATCATGCATGTTTGTAGCATGTCCCATGTGTAAGATGCATGTCATACGGTATATCAGCTTTCAGATCCCTGCTTTACATAGGCAGTATTAAAGGTGGATCCACAAGCTGATACATTGTTTGAAGATACCCTTAATACGCCAGAAGAACTCTATTTGAGCCTGACAACAAATGTACATGAATCAATTTAACAAGGCAATCCATCACTTAGGAAACGCCAATGAATGCTACATTTGTAATTAAGGAAGGAAAATGGCCTTAATACTGTTGTTAAAAAGTATAGATTTGTACCCAGCCAGCATCCGAGACAAAACAAAATGAAGCCAAACAACTAACATTGTTATCAACACATATAGGAATCAAGGCAAAAATATTTCAACTGCACGTAACATCAACATATATATAGACTCAACTCATTCAAATACATTTCATTAGCAGTATTATATAATTCTATTTAATATCTCCTTATTTGTTTGCCTGAATGGAAGTGCAAAGGGTGCAAGTGTAGGAGGAAGCTGGCGTACTCGGAGAAAAACCAAATGGTCAGACAGATGACCCAGTACATTTTAACGTCTGATAAGGGAAAGATCCCCTGGCCATCTTGGTGAAAGGCGAGTGCGCTTTCCACAGCGCCATCTGATCATGCATGACCTTCCAATATATACCTTTTTAATCAATCAATTCAATAGGCCTTCTTGTTTACATTGAACATAATTATCATCAGTAATTTGTAGATGGTGCCAAGTCATGCTTTCATTCTCTTCTATTTGAAGAATTTGGTTGCTATAATAGTATACACAGAAGATTTTCTAAAAAAAATTGCCATGTGATGAAGCATGAACTCTTCTGCACATGTAAACTGTGTTTGAGGAAATAAAGCATACACGCTAGATAAACAGCCTTACACAAGCTATAGCATCAGTCTTGTATGGGTCCATTGTTGTGTAACACAGGTATTATTTATTATTCATAAGCATCACCTACACAATCATAAAAGTAGGCCAACCTCTCTCACCTGTCACAGAAACAACCAATCTAAGAATGAGGAAAGTGAACTTCCCTGAATATGAGGTGTCAACATTTGTTTCCTATGTAAACTGTTTCACTGAAATCTGGCATGCTGCTGCGGAACAAAGAGGGAATGCATGACAAAGCCAAGCCTGGTCTTTTTATGTAGTTTACAGTAAAGCTATGTATATCTAGGGACTCTATACAGTATAGACCTCTGGTACACACATAAATATATATGTACATGAATAATGTGTTAGTCACATCAGATCTTTTTTACATAATTTACTTCTATTGTGTCAATATTAACATTTTTTTTATACATGTACTGGGATTGTATATTATATAAAGAGATAAGTATAGTATCGAGCATTATATGTACCTGTATTTCAAATGCTGTTGGAGCAGAAATTTCTTACAGTTGAAAAGTAATCAAGAATTTATGGGAAAACATCATAACATAGATCTAAAACTTTTCTTTTCTGGCTTTGAAATATTAAAAGAATTGCAGTTAATACTGTGGAAGGGATATATTGATATTGACCAGAAAAAGAACAGAAGGCCCTTAAAATATAAGGAATAGGTTACTCTTACTAGTTAAAATAGAAAGTGGGATATCATAACATAATCGATGATACCTAACAACAACAAATCATGGATTAAATTTGATCAATTGAAGTTTCAATTTCACTTATAGTAACTACACTGTCTATATATAGTTCTATATAACAGGTCATGTAGAACACCTTGATAAATGTTCCACTAAGAAATACCTTGAGAATTAGGATATATATTAAATACCTCCTAATCGTAATGCCCCTTACAGTGTCAATAGGTAGTTATAAGTGTCCGGGTATTGAAGCAAACATACTGGTCTACAGGCCCAGTGACATGTACAGACCACAACAGTCTGGTCTACAGGCCCAGTGACATGTACAGACCACAACAGTCTGGTCTGCAGGCCCAGTGACATGTACAGACCACAAGTCTGGTCTAAAGGCTCTGTGACATGTACAGACCACAAGTCTGGTCTACACCCAGTGACATGTACAGACCACAAGTTTGGTCTAAAGGCCCTGCTACATGTACAGACCACAAGTCTGGTCTACACCCAGTGACATGTACAGACCACAACAGTCTGGTCTAAAGGCCCTGTGACATGTACAGACCACAAGTCTGGTCTAAAGGCTCTGCTACATGTACAGACCACAAGTCTGGTCTAGATCTACACCCAGTGACATGTACAGACCACAACAGTCTGGTCTAAAGGCCCAGCGACATGAACAGACCACAATAAGTCTGGTCTACAGGCCCTGTGCCATGAACAGACCACAATTACAGTCCAGTCTACAGGCCCTTCGACATGTACAGGCCACAATTACAGTCCAGTCTACAGGCCCTGTGACATGAACATACCACAATAGCATTGTTCTAAGGCCCTGTGACATGTAGACAGTGTAAAGACACAGTATGAAGGCCCTGTGACATGTACAGACCACAATGATACTGATTCGAAGCCCTGTGACATGTACAGACCACAATGATACTGATGTGAAGGTCCTGTGACATGTACAGACCACAATGATACTGATGTAAAGGTCCTCTGACATGTACAGACCACAATGATACTGATGTGTTGAGGCCCTGTGACATGTACAGACCACAATGATACTGATGTAAAGGCCCTCTGACATGTACAGACCACAATGATACTGATGTGTTGAGGCCCTGTGACATGTACAGACCACAATGATACTGATGTGTAAAGGCCCTGATATGCCAGGGAGTAAGCATAGACCGGATTGGTGATAGGCCCTGACATTTGTTTAGACCATGTCACATGACATGCAATTAAAGGCCCTGTTATATGTACAGACCTGTTCTATATTTACCAGAGATATTGATCTCATTGTGTATGTATTACAGGCCTTTCAATACATTGTAATGCTGCAAGACTTTATTAATGATTTTATTTTCAAACACCAAATATCAATAATGTCATTTATATAGACTATACAAAGCTACACAAACAAACCCTTACAGTAGGCATATATATAAATATCTGCTTCATACTTATTTAGTAATTTTCTTATTATCCCAACATGACACAGAACGGACAAAAATTATAATCAACCTAACTTGAATTAAAGGTGTTAATTATTCAGTTATTGGATTCAGATATTTCTTCTAGTATAACATGGCTGCAAGGTAACAAAATTTCAGACTCAAGTCATTTTCATAAGGAAATGGAGTTCACCCTTTGTAAGCTATAGAGCTACCCAGCTGGAAACATAATAGCAGAAGATTTTAAGTCATAGGGGATATTGAATGTACAGTAATGTACTGGAGGGTAATCAACACAATGTATATATAACTGGCTTTTCTCCGACCTGTAGCAATAACATTAAGAACCATATATATATATACTAGGTAGTCTGGCTAGTAATCACACCTACAGCTGCCCAACATGCTAACACATATAGCATGCAGTTATATTTAGGTTTCAGGTTGTGATTTAAACATTACAGGCCATTTTTAGTGAATCGTTAGCATCCCACTTGTCAGGACAACACACTGATCACATATATCCAGACTGTGATCTGAGCTAATCGTCACAGCATATTACATAATTAAATAATGCAAGGGTGGGTTAGAGATCCATTCATGATAATGGCAGGAGTACTTCATTTATTCTCTCTGTTTTACAACATGTCGAGACAAAGAAAGGCGGACATGGAAATGGTCAGATCAGAGCAAAATATAGGTAGATTCTGTGAAATCAATCGGATCCTCAAATTCAAACAGATACAAACAATGCCATACCTATATCTGTGGGCATGAGAAACCTACATAATGCCAGCAGGTCCCATACAATATCAGAATTCAAAGTATGAATGGTATCTGTACATATAGCAAAGGATTCCACATGTGTTATACATATATAGATCAGCAAATCAATCGAAAGATATCAGGTTAAGATAGCCTCAATACAAAACAGGCTCTTCTTTTTATAGACATTCAACTAGTGTATTGGGTCTTCTTGGCTTAAATCCAGGATTGCCTAGACATGTATGTGACCAGACACGACCCATGACATGTATATAGTATCAATACTTTCAGATTTATCCCTGTTATTCATGATTAATGTCAATAACACATCATAAACCAATTACATTCACGTCCCACCCTAACCTGTGATGAAGGCCGTACATATATATATATATATATATACCATGACTTGCAGAACAGGGTTTAGTGTATGCTGTAATAGTGGGCCCCCGAGCTGTTGGAATTTTATCACCCAGTTCGAGATTACTTCAGGGTTTATGGCATGGAGGAAACATTTGATGTTACATAAGCATGTATTCTGTACTGAGGGAAAGCAGGATAAACACTGGCCAACTGTACACCAATATATAGCATCAGTAGACAGGGGCACTATATACCCACATCCACTCATCTGTAACTAGTCTGGACACCACCAAGCACACTTAGCATTGTTAAACCTTATATATTAACTAGCCATTATACAGCTCATCTACATCTCTCTGTGACAAATGAGTGTCACCATTGACCTTGAGATTTTACAGGATAATCAAAAGTGACCTTTATATAAATCAGTTTCTCCTCTACAA